ACATAATTTTACTTCAATAATAAATACAAGTTTTACATTTCATTTTAACATATTCTAATACTGCTAAACATTAACATCGAATGAAATAGAGTGGGCAAGAGTAAGAAAGATCGGCGCTATGTCACACGTTAACTTTATAGATGCCGGCGTACAGCAGATTGTGAACAATATACATTTATGATTGCTCATATAATACGAATAGGCAACAAACATTTGTCAAATATTATTTCGAACAATTTTTTTATGTGGACAGAAATACTGATATTAGTTCAAATAGATCTAATATTGAAGTTCTACGTAAAAAAATTAATAGTACATAATTTTTTATTCGACGACCATAAAAATTTATATATATATAATATATATATATATATATATATAAGTATATATTGAATGCAGAGAAAGAGATCATCATCGCGCCGTTGCATATGATATTATATAAACCATTGATTGATAATATGGAATACGATCGAGGCACCAATACATGTATGTAAGAACTTCATCTTCTATCAAAGAGGACCATTGTTAGTTTTTTAGTTCATTACTGAATGCCAAGCTAAGCGGTCGTTATGTGTTTAATAGGAAGTGCGAAAATTACGAAATATTATTACGATATATTTTTATTTGTTTTAAAAGAACGTCGTGTAATTATCGTTTAATAATCAGTGGAAAAGTAGTGCATTGTGTGTGTTTTATTTCTCAATGATACAAGTGAAAATAGAGTATCGATGTAGTGCCGGTGGATTGGTTGATATATAATGAAGGATAAGATAAATTCGAATGCCCATTTTTAAATAATTATGAGCTATCGGGAGAAAATTTACTTCTTCTTCAAGATTTGGTGAAGCGTCGGGCGGCACCAGCATCGGATAATTGGAGTCTTCATGAGGTGGATGTACGAGATTACGCGAGTAAGTATTATTGATCAACTACGTATTGTGTATTTTGTTATATACACACAAACACACACACACACACACACACACACATATATATATATATATATATATATATATATATAAACATATCTTTGATTTGAGTTGTAATTTCAGATACATATTAAATTGCCTTGGAAAAGTTAAAAATATTGCAACAAAAGGAATATGCGTTTTCTACGGACAATGAAGAAACCATAAACAGAAGGCAAGATGTTCTGAAAAAACAATACCGCTTGAATAAAGGGCGTTTTGTAAATCAGAATAACGTCGATCAGCAGTTGTCGGAATGTAACATAAATTTAGGCAATAAGTCGCGCAATGCTTCAAGTAAGTGTATTCTTGTTAACAATTTATCGTGTATTTTTCTTTTTATTATTATCGAATAATTTAATTTTAATTTTTAGTTTTTTTTTTTTTAGTGTTTAATGTCTTAAAGACAGTGAACTTGTGAAGTGTTTATATGGTAGGTATTATTCACACAGTACACATAGATGATTTTATTATTTATGGCTATACATTTTGTTACAGGTATAATGACAACTGAATCAATTAAAAATCCGCAGTTGAGCCCTATTAAAGAGCAAGCATTTAACCAAGCCCTCGGGAAGGTTATAAATTATTCCCGTGATTGGGAGAATGGGAGAGATCATAGGCGGCGGACCAATAAAACCTAATTAACATTTGTTATTTATTGTTATTATATATAAAAAATTGTTATCAAAAGAATTAATAAAAAAAATTTAGCATATGCATTTTTTTATGGGCCATGCCAATTTTATTTTCAGGGCCACGTCAAATATATTTTTCAGGGCCATATCAAATATATTTTTCAGGACCATATCACATATTATTTTCAGGGCCGCATCAAATATATTTCAGGGCCATATCAAATATATTTTCAGGACCATATCACATATTATTTTCAGGGCCGCATCAAATATATTTTTCAGGGCCATATCAAATATATTTTTCAGGGCATATCACATATTATTTTCAGGGCCATATGCTTATTTTAAGTTAAGGGCCAAGTTCGATATTTTTATAGGGGCCATTTCATATTTTCGATTAGGGCCCGGAACAGTTTGCCCAACACAGACCTTATCCGGCAAGGCGTTACATATCGCATAGGGGCCAAGTACGGTTGCCGCACTGGGACCCTACTTAATTTAGGGCAGCCCTGATCCGCGCCATACTTCAATTTCCAGTCGGGAACTTAATAGCTGTGATAAATTTTAAGAGATAAATCCATTTGAGTATTACTCATCATTACTTCTTTACAATACCGTACACGAATCCGGACAAATTTAATAAAAATAAAGTAAACGTTCTACAAAAATTAAGACGCCGTTCAAATCGTGTTAGAGATTAGTTTCTTTATAATATAGAACCATTTATACAAGTCTCACATATTTCTTTTATAGGAAAACGTATAACTAAATCATTTTTTTCCTTTCGTGTTCGAACAACAATCATAACTCATGGGTCCAATCATAATGACATGAACTTATCGCTGTTTTGATGATATTTCTACATCATCACAAAGATTGGGAAATAAACTAGATATTAAAATTTTTCTAATACATAGATTTTTTATAAGATGCAGCAATGTATATACATCTATATTTTCAAGTGAAAACCTTGATATCAGGCTGTCCGAACTGGCCAACGAACCTGGCAGGAATCCTCTGGTTGCAAGGCCAAAACTCTAACCAGTATAAGCCCTAACTATATCATCATAACAAAACGTAGTTACGATATTTGAAACTTTTTTTTATTAACTCTTAATATTGTTGAACAATACAAATTTTACTTTCTTGATCATAACAAAACTTTAGATCTTTAATTTTGGAACATAATAAATATATATAAAAAAATATTGCAATAAATGACTTATTTACTTTGTAGTAAAAAAAATATTTTATTGCATACGTTTCATTTTTCCAAATATGATATTGCAAAGCAATGTGTATTCTAGATAATGGTCTATAAATTTGCGTTCATTTTAGATTTAGAATTTTAATATATGAACAGGAATTAATATGTTTCCGTTAAATAAGTAAAGTAATCTGATAATATCTAATTACAATAGATTGAAATTAATAGACATCAGCATAAAAATATTAACGCCGGTTCAGATATAAATATTGAATACATATTATGCTTATAGGAGAATTAACTAACACTATATCTCAAATGTATGCAAATAATGATAAGACTACGTAATTGAACCTATTACAAAAGTATGATAAAAAAATTCAAATCACCTTGTTTAATATTTTAAATTTATCTAGTAACTAGTATTTTAAAATAGTGCTATTTATAATTTAATGATAAAGTGCCTAACAAAGTAACGAAAAAGAAATAAAATGTATTTACAATTATGTAAGCAAAGACTTTTAAACCGTATCAATAAATTAAAATACTGAAAAGTATCGATCAAATTATACATAAAACATTTTGAAATAAAAGTAATTCGTACCATTACGCAGTCAAATATTCCCACCTTTTTATATTTTTGTATGCCTTCTCAAATTTGACATTATCTAGTACCGGAGGCAAGAGATATATTTGACAATCTTATTTTAGTCAAAAGATATATAAGATAATCGCTTACTTTAGGTCTATAATTTCAAATCTAATATGATTGACAATCGAAAATATGTCCAACAAGATTCCGAACCCGGACACGGTTCAGGAGACGGCATCAAAATCTTAAGAACCGAACACGGTCCATAATCGTGAACAGTATTTTAACGCCTATATTTAAAGCTTATTGAGACTGCAATTTGCGTAAAAAATTAAAGAAGCAGGATTCATAGAATTCCTATAATAATCATTATCATTTGCCACAAAAATAAAATAGCACCCCTGTAATCTATCTATTGCGTTATGAAAACTTTTCAGTTTCAAAGGAGTAAACAAGATGAAGTTGTTAGAAAAAATTATGCAAGAATGTTACCCTTGTCTATATATTATATTAGCTTCCCGTGGGGTAAGTTATAGTCATCGCAAAAAAATCGAAAATATTTTTTTTTGCATATATATATATATATATATATATATATATATATATATGTTTCAAAGCTTCCCGTGGGGTAAGTTATAGTCATCGCAAAAAAACTAAAATAATTTTTTTGCATATATATATATATATATATATATATATATATATATATATTATATATATATATATGCATATATATATAAATATAATATATATAAATATACATATATATATATATATATATATATATAATATATATATATATATGTTTCAAAGCCTTCTGAACATTTTGGCATAGCTTAGAAAAAATTGATGTATATGTCTGTGTGTGCGGATACACATATTCGTCCACGATTTCGGAAACACAGATCAATCGATTTGAATAATTCAAAAAAATATTCGATTCTCATTGATGTGCAGACGTTCTGAGTAGTTTTTGGCTTCAGCCGTTTTAAAGATACGGGGCAAAAAGTGCCATAAATGGTTATTCAGTTATCGAGATAACGGAGCGTCCGATTTGAGTGATTCAAAATTCAAAATTTATATATTATTTTCAAAATTTTCAATTCGAGAAATAGATTGTATCAATGGATATGTCAGCAAATAAATATAGAGAAAGGGCCGATCGATCTATACCAAAACGTTCAGTATTAGCAGAAAAACAAAATGTTGAACTAAAGGAACTACCGCTTGCTAATAAATCTTTGATCGTAGTGTACAGTAACTTACTTTAAATTTAATTATTTCCTTATACAAAACGAGCAACTCAAATCTTTTACTACTGTACTCACCATTGTCCAACATGTCTATATCACTAATCACAATTGCAGTTCTTAAATCACTTTATTTTGGTTTGGACTACACTCCGACACTTTGGCACATATTTTCAACACTCCAATATAATCTTGGTTCGTATTTACAGCTTTGGGCTTCCAACCAGAAGGTTCCAGATTCGACGCCCATATGTAACGCACATGAAAGTATAAATTAAAATTGTTTCCAAGTGAAAGTAGCGCTTCATCAAGATTGCTGCATTAAATTAAAAATCATCAGGATTAGAGAAGTTCTAAGATATACCAACTGTTGGCTTTGTCTAATTTACAAAATTTGCTTGAAATGACGTACTGCAATATCTACTAATCAAACAATGAACTTTTCAAACAATTACATTTTTTATGTAAAAGATATTCAGCATTTAAGAGAACATTTTGACATTGCAATAGCATTTCGAACATTGTAATAACAAATGTTTGAATATATGTAGCTTTTTTTAAAATAAACCAGAATAGTTTAGAACAAAGCTTTGTTAAGTATATATGATAAAAATGTTGCTTATAAAACGAAATAAAAATTTAAATAAATAAGGTACACATTGAATAATTAATTAAATGACAAAAATATTTTTTTATGAAATAGCCAAATTATTAGTAAAGATTATGTAATATTAATGTAAAAAAATTGCATTTTTTCAAATTAAAATTATTAACTATTACTATTATTATTATCATATTCCCCGTATTACATTAAATAGATTTTTATAACTATTGTAACTAACTGACTTATAGGTGAATATATAATAACAAATTCCAAATATCGTAAATAAATTTGTATTTGTTTAAGCCAAAGAACATATTTTATAAGTACATATATATTATATATAAAGATATCTGTATAAATTAACAATAATTATTTAACTTTGGTCAATAAAATAAAATAGTTATCTCAAAATTAATACTAAGTTTACAAATATCTTAATAACTTAATTAATAGTATTAAAACCCTGTAAAATAAAACTATCAAATTCGGATCTAAAATTAATAATTTTGTGTTATTTAATGCATTTGATTGTTAATTTTTAACAAGTTTATACATATATACATATCTAATATATATATTTATATATATATATATATATATATATATATATATATATTAGAGCAGGTCGATTCGTATAGGTCAAAAAAGTCGCTTAGACACACATGATTTTCAGATACTAGGGATCAAAATAAGATACTTTGTTGCAGAAACTATACCTCTAAAATGAATTCTGATGTTCCGTGCAATGACCCAAAAATAAGGGTCGAAATTTGAAAAATTCCATTTTGACCCATTTAGTGCCCCAATCGCGTCCAAATGTATGACCGACCCCCACTAAATTTGGAATGCCAATTCACCCATGCCCGTGGTTCATCCCCTGGGGCCTCCCCTGAGCGGTTTTCCAACATTCAACCCTTATTTTTGGGGTCAAGGCACGGGACATCAGAATTAATTTCAGAGGTAAGGTTTCTTCAGCAAAGTATCTTAATTTGATCCCTAGTATCCGAAAATCATATGTGCCTAAGTGACCTTCAAATCGACCCGCCCTAGTATATACGCATATATATATACAGGGCCGGTCCTGGGGTCCTCAGCGCCCGCATGAAAGATTTGTTCTAGCGCCCCCCCCCCAATAATTTTAAATGTTTTAACAGTTTTTCATTAAAATTATATAAGCATTTACTTCAATTTTTTCAATTAATTTTTAATCATTTTGGATTTTTGTACACACACTTTAGCACACAAAAAATTATATATAATCTAAAAGCGTATAAAATTTAAAAGTACTTTGAACAGTAAGCAGAACAATAATTTACAAATTTTCAGAGTTATTATTTGGTTCATTGTTTCTTTTGACATCACATTGCAAACTAAATATGCTTTTTGTGACTCATAGTTAAGTTGGATTGTTTATTATAATCTACTAATTATTCTAGATTTTATGTTTAAAAAAATATATAAATAATATATTATAAATTTCATTTGCGAACCTCGTTTTGGCGCCCCCTAAGGCGTGCGCCCGCATTTTTTGCATGCATTGTATTCAAGGCAGGAGCGGCCCTGTATATATATATATATATATATATATATATATATATATATATGAGATTCAATCTTCAGGGCAAAACATCATTTAAAAACTTATAAAAACTTATAACATTTTTATTGTTTCCATATGTTTCGACACATTGTTTTGTGTCATCTTCAGTGGAATGTAATTGTAATATTTCTAATTAATTTCTAATAATAATTATTCACAATTGCACTACTAAAACAGTTCTTGTCACTTTAAATCGGAACAATTATATAAATTTTAAGGAATTAATTGTAGGAAAAATTTCTTATTGTAAAGAGTGCATGTTGCAACGTCGATGTCCGATGCGACAGACTGTCGAAACAAGTTTTTAATTGATGTATTGCCCTGAAGATTGAATCTCACAAATTTCAACATCAAAATTATTAAAATTTTTAACATATATATATATATATATATATATATATATATATATATGTGTGTGTGTGTATGTGTGTGAACACAGTATACATTATGTAAATTCAAAGATGTAAGTGTAATAGATGCTTTCTACTAATTATCACAGTATACTTGTATTTCGAATGATTGAATCACTTACCAAATACTGGTTTACCAACTTCAGGATTCAGTTTTTTAATCTGTTAAGAATAAAAACATAAAGCACATTAAACAAAAAAAAACAAGATAATTGTTTATAAATTGTAGGCATACCTCTTTCTTGAAATCGATAGAAAGTTCATCAATGTAATTCAAAAATATTTGCTTAAGAATTTCTCCTTTAGGTGTATCGAACCCAGTTCGTATTTTTGTTTTAAATTTTAATAAAGTTGGCGTCATCATTTCTATTAACGACAGCATCTTTTTCTGTATAAGTGAAATAAAAAGCATTGAAATTTAGTTTTAATATCTTAATGGTAATGTACTCCTCCTAATTTGAACAAGATCATATTTATTGTTTTTCATCATATTCTGATAATAATATTTTCAATATCTTGTGATAGCAGTAATTCAAGCAAACCAAAATTAAACTAATTATGTGCAGATAACAGTGCCAATGTATGTAATTAAGAGTATTTTGAAAATAATATAATCATGAGTAATTATGTTAGATTACATGTTCAGATATTTTACTGCACAAGTGCATTTCAATTTCATTTCAAATATTATAACGCGGTAAGGTATAATTAGTATTAGGTATAATTAATTGTAACAGTTATAATATATTAAGCAGTTAATACTGTCTGTAAAATCTTCTTCCCTTGTTAAATCTTTTCAAACAAAAATATGCAAACACACTTTATAAAATGAATAAATGAATGTTTTTATTTAAAACTATACTTACATCATCAACATGTGGTTCTTCTTCATCCGTTTCCATTCTCATTTCTTCTTCTTCGCAAGTGTTGTTTTTTTTAGCACCCACAATTAGAAACTCAGGTTTCATTTGTCTCAAAGACAAAATTGTCAGCGCATCACACACAATAGCTAATTCATCAGGGCCGTTGGAAGATTCATCAGTAGAAAGACTCCAAGGTTCTAACAAATATAATATGCATATTATAAGAAAATCATTTACATATAATAATAGGTAATTATACTTATTATTATAAAAAATTATCTAATCATTTTCAAAAGTAAGAGTTTTTATTATTATAAAATGTACAATGGTGTTCAAGGTGGATATTTAGAAAAATTTACAAATTGTGAAAGTCATTTAACTTTTAAATTGGTTGTAATATCCAAAATTTGAGTAAACACCGTTTATAAGAGTATTCAGCCCGGACAATGTGAGTATATAATATATTCATATTATATTCTCATTATATTATTCATATTGGTAGTCAGATTATCATAATAATTCATTACTTGCGATGAATGCTAAAATGTTAAAAATTTCAGTGTGTTGGTAAGGAACCAAATCATGTATGTAAAAAAACACATATTACCTACCTAAAATATTATTGTATAAAGCTTGTACAGTTTTATATCGAGATTGTTCCCTCATATTGAAGACCATATATCGATACAAATTATGTCGAGTAATTATCATTTCATCACCATTATAAGAAAAAGCCTTTCCTAGAGCTAAAGATGAAACCTAAATAGAATTTATAGAGAGTTATATATGTATATTATCACTAATCACTAATCTAAAGTATACTAATTTATTTAGGAAGTGACTTGATTTCAAATAAAATTGAATTTACATTTTGGTATGTAAAGCTCACATTTTATATTGTATAATTATGTACATAATAAAACAAAATAAAAAGTAAGTCCTTAAGAAAAAACAATGATATTTGATCAAGAAATATTAATATACAGTAATGGACAAATTAAATAAAATAATTGAATTTAATACTCACAGAGAAAAGAAAAGAAAATACTTATTATTATTATAGTTGATCCCAAATGAAGTACCACTATTAACACTTTAACAATTTAGTTTAATTAGACTAAATACAGTAACATAATTAAAAATCAAGTACATTTTTATTCAATTCTAATTTAGTTTTTAATCTTTATTTATTAGTACACAAAGAAATTTACCTTGTTATTGTGAAAGTATATCACGCTCAGCAGCATGTCATGTAAAAAATCTTTGTCTTGGCTGGCTGTTGCCTTTTGTGAAATAAAGTACTCCACCACACATTTTACATCTTTCTGTTCGTCCAATACCATTGAAAAGTAGCAAACCATTTGTTCTTCGTTGAGTTTAATGTAGCCATCAGCCATTAATTCAGTAATCAGACGAGCAGCAACTGCGCGCACACGATTCTCACAACGAAAACAGAGCAATAATACATCCAAATGTGGTTCCACTAGCCTTGTGTACCTGAACACAAATTTAATAGATAAATAAAAATATTTTTCATTTAATTAAATATATGTTCATACATACAGTATCTCATTCTGACAACAGACATAAATTGTTATTCATAATAGTTTATTCTTAAATCTATTTCACAATTTCTTTCAGATAAATAATAATCATAAAGTTGTGACTTAATACTTTTAAAATGTTTCATTTGATATTTTTCAAATATATATATATATATATATATATATATATATATATATATTTACTAGCATATTTTTTACACTGGAAAAAAATAATTTAAGTCAAAAAAGTTTCAAATGCAAAGATTGAACCCAAAAATGTGACTAATTTAAACATTTTCTTTATCCACAATAACGTCATAAATAATTATCTGTTCGATGTTGTCAAATATAGGTGATAAAAAGAGATGTTTTAAGTAGTATTGTTATCACTTTAATACCTAAATTATCAAAAGAATGAAAGCAAGCAAATAGAGCCTTCCTACAATTTATTATTCATATTTTTATTCAAACGTAATTTATGGGATTCAATTTTAGAGTTTTGCACCTTTACTTACATCAGTGTTTCAATTCAGAAAAAAGCAATTAAAATAGTTTTCCCTATCGTCCACTATATCTCAGCGACCTTTGTTCCATTAGTACAAGATCTTAACCATTCCTTTCATTTTTCTCCTAACTACCCTTTGTTTAAAAATAGATATTGCCAACTGTTCAATTCAAGTTCAAATTCCAAATCTAATTATTATAACAAAAGACATAAATTTGTTAATGGTCCCACATTAAAACTCACTTACTCACTTAATACATTAGATGGACTGGGTATCATAGATGAAAAAGTAGTGCATTATGCTATTCAACAAATTGCCATTCAAAACTTTCATAAATTATTTAATAACATTTTTAAAAATTTCTTCTTAAGACAATTGAGGAAACAGAACTATGTTTTTTAAACTGAACTTTAAATAAGGTGATTCAGTAAAAATTTTAATTAATTTAGTATAGAATCATTTAGTATATGAATAAATGAATAGTATGTACTTACATTGTGCAAAGATCTTTTAGTATTATGAAACAAAGAATTTTTTCATTAGTTTTAGGACTTCTAAACATAATTTTTATATAAATTGGAATAGCATTTGTAGCAGCAACTTCCTCTCGCAGGCAGAGACGTCCCAGTGTTAATAGCATTGTTCTGTACAAAGTAGGCTTCTGTCGAAAAAGCACTGTGAATTGTTTACAAAAAATATTACAACCCATTTATCAACTTTTTTTATATATCGCAATTCATATTAAAAAAAAAAAAAAAACATAATTACATATAACTGATTGTTCAATAGAACAAATCTTATGACACAATCTGATTGCTAATTGTCGAAAGGGCAACTTTCGTATTCCAGTTGAATTTTCTGCATATAATAAAAGTGATATTTCAAATTTATTTATATTGAAGGTAACTCCATCTTGTAGAGCACTCAAACCTTCTTTAATTGTATCACAAGCTATCTGCAACAAATATTGTTTGAGATTTTTAAAAAGAAAATGCCAATTTATATTTTAGCAATTAAATTAAATAAAATAAAATATCAACTTACTTCCACATAATGCTCCTTCCAATCAGCAGAATTCTGCAAATTAGTGATTGTATCAATAAAATTAACAACTAATTTAACAGGCACATTCCATGTGGTAATTTGAAGTATCAAGCTATCTGAAAGCGCATCTTTTCTATCTGAAGGCATGGAATGTTGAGAGCTTAATATTTCTAAAACAAAACGTAGTGCACACATCTGATGTTTCAGTTCCTACAAAAACACAAACTTCATATAAATATAATTTTATATATATATATATATATATATATATATATACACATATGCATATATTCGATAATTCATATCTGCAATAAATAACAGGTAACAAAAGTTGTGTAGTTGAAATATCTAGAGGTGTATGGGATTGTGACTTAAAGAAAATTGCAGGAACTTCCCAATTATCTTCGAAAAATCATTTTTAGTATTCCTATAGATTAATAGAAAACCCTATATAAAACAAATATTTTTATCAATAAAAATGATGATTAATCAAGTCACTTGTTCTAATAATAATTAATGTAATTAACATTGTACTATTTTTTTTTTTTTTTTCTTAATTCAACAATGAAATTCAAAAAATTGGTAGCATTTGGGATTAGCCAATCTATTCGAATTTTATATACATAGTATCTGAATATATACACACACGGTACATCACAAAAATGCCATGAAATGCAAAAATATAAAAAAATATATTGTCTGACAATTTAACTTGACCATAAAGCACATTAAATAAATATGATATATAATATAAAGTATATTTACATACCCTATCATGTTTTGACAAATTAATATAATGTTCATAGTATTCTACCGCAAATGTGATATCTTTCAGCGCCATTGTTTTTGCCACGCAGGACAAAAAAAGCAATGCATATAAATTGTATTTAGTATGTATATAAGTTTGAATCATAGTTATCACATTTGAACTGCAAAAAATCAAATAATTAGTATTATAGTACTTTTATACTGCGCAAAACCTTAGTTAAATAACACCTACCCCAGTAATTTCTTAGAATTCCAATATTTCATGGAGTTCTCCAGATATGGTCTCCAATGCTTCTCTTGAATATGTTGTAAAATATTCCAGGGTATTACATAATTTGTTTTAATATCAATATTTTCAAAAGGCACTAAGTTTTCCAGAAATAATTTTGAAAGATCCTATATTTAATATTACATATAGAATATAAAAGAAAACAAAAACAAATGATAATTAATATTCCCTATTAACTTACCAAATATATCTTACTGTCAAGCTCGCTGACTGTATTTGATGCTTCTGGTAAAACATTTTCCAACCAAATATATATTAAAGCATGTTCTTCTATCATATATTTTGAAACATATTCTGTCAAAATACTTAAAGCCTGACTTCGAATAGATATTGCAAAATCACGTACCATGGCTACTAGTTGCTGCATATAAAAAAATACACATCAATTAGTTTCAAATAGATTTTAAATAGAATATATTTACACTTAAATATCAGATATCAAATACAAACGGAAATCACAGTAATTTGGCACAAAAATTTCAAATATCTTATGCCATACAAATCAATATTGTTGGTTTATTTATATTTACAGAATTATAAATTAATACACATGTAAATGCAGATTGAAATAGTGAGCATTACAACAGCATTTATTTATTTATTCATAAACAATAATAATAATTATTATTTCAGGCTCCATCAAGCAAAATTAGTGTTCACTGGAAACTAAAGTGCAATTCTCTTAAACGCGAAAAGCCCTTCAAACTTTCAACAATTTAATATAGCAAAGCATTAGGATGATAGAAGGTATTTTGAACATCAAACCATCTGGACCTTGCACAAACACATTTTCTCTACTTTGGTTTAAGTCTCAAGTTGGTATCAAAGCCCTTATTTAAATTTGAGAGACAAGATCGATAACCACATCACTACCTAGCTTTAAATTGAGATAAACATAAAGGTTAAATAATGTACCTCTCAAATTATTGTACACTAATAACATATTTAAAAATATTATAGCAAATTATTAATAAAAGAAAGTTGGTAGTTATATAAAAATCAGTTTTAGCAATCTTACAAAGATTGTTTGCTTATATAATGACATTAACTTTAAAATAAAATATTTATATATGTTTGTAAAAGTACAAGAAAAAAAAATTTTCATTAAACAAACTAAAATAAATAAAAAATAAGATATGCTTACATTTTTCAATGAAGAATTCAACCAGTGTTTTGGCTTATGATTTGCGATACACTCTAATACTTGCAACGCAGCTTTTCGCAGTGATATTTTTTCTTCGCGCAAATAATGTAGTAGAAGTTTGTTTATACTATCAGCTGTTGGCAGTTCAGCAACATCGATAGAAGTAAATACAGCTGCCTCTGGATCAAATATTTTCTGAAATAATATACAATAAATTTATAAACATTCCTATAATTATAACTATTATATACAGTCTAATATTAATCTTCAATACTCTTGAATAAATCCCAATTCTTTCAAAATTGTAAACATTTGGTTCATAACCTAATTATTGCGAAACCAAAATTATACTGGTAAAATTGTAATTAATAAAATAAAACTTTAGAAAAGTTTATATATATATATATATCTATATATATAAAAGAGGAACGCCTTATGTGCTACCACTTATAACTCACGAACGGCTGGACCGATTTAGATGAAAATTGGCAGGGAGGTAGTTTAGAGCCAGGAGAAGGACATAGTATACTTTTTATCCCTTTATTTCATTCTAATTCAAAATTAATTATTTTTAAACTATCCATATATATATATTGTATTAGCGCAGTAAACGGAGCGTTTTAGGTCTGAATTTTTTTACTGTGCTCGGAATTGTATAAAATTTTGGAATTAGGTTCATCTTACCCTCAAGTTCAAAAGTGAAAACAATTCGGGTTGCGCCATCACCCCCCGGGGGGATGACACCCCTTCTCAATTGTGCAATTACATTTTTTCAAAATAACGTCGAAAATCGATAGAAGAACTAATTATAAGAAAAAAATGTCTTCTATAGTTTTAAAAAAAAACTAATACTTTTCAAGTTACTGGCCACTAAAGATTTATATATTTTTGGCGTTTTTCTTCGTTTTTTTGCAAATATCTCCTAAAATATACATTTTAACGGAAATCATGTAATGAACAAAATAATATCAATAAAATTCTTAATAAATCGGTGTTACATAAAGTGTTCTAGGAAAAATATTAAGCAAGATTTGAAAGAGCAAAGTCGTTTTTTATTTCATTCAAGATTTAATTGTTGTATTTAAAGCCATCTAGTGTCGAGGTTTTACATTTTATGCATTTGGGTGAAATTGGGTTTTATAGTGCTCAACATGAGCTTTAAAATGAGTGCTATTACAAGTTTTTTGCGTGTAAAATGAGTGAGCTATAATGCAAATAAGAAGCATAGACGAAGTTTTTTTCTTTTAAATCATATGCTTTAATGAGCGCCGTTTCCACCAGAATTAAAGTAATTCACATTCCTTCTAGAATTCACTTCATTATAGACATCTTGATAGATTCTAGCAGATTCACTACTTTAGTAAAAAACTATTTTCAGAAAACTCACGTTTTTATAAAAAAAATCTTTCCAATTTGCGCGGCCGCGCAGTCTTTAAACATTTATAACTCTGTCAATTTTTGTGTGATATATATATATATATATATATATATATATATATATATATATATATATCGTATGCAGTGGCGTCGGAACCGCGTGGGCTCAGCCCACCCATCAATTTCAAAAAATTATATGGGCTAATATCTCTAAAAAGAAAAACGAGACCACTGGCTGCCTATCTAAAAAAAAAAAAAAAGAGCCCAGCCATCAAAAATTTGGTTCCGACGCCACTGTATATATGTTTATAAGAAGTAGATAGTAGTCATTTCAACTATGAATTATTAAAAATTTCAATATAAAATATAAAAAATAATACAGACATATTGAGTTATGTGTTATATATGCATATATACTAAAAACAAAATATTTTTTTTTAAGTTAAAATGGACATTTAAAGCATGCTATAACAATATAGCAGTAACTCAGCAATTGCATTATATAAGGAAACATATGTATATTACAAATTATAATTATATTACAAATGTTTCTACACACAAAATATAAAAATGAAACAATTTCAAAAAAGAAATAAGTCATTAAATTATAATTGACTATCATAAAACTTATATTCATAATTGTTAAGATCATTCTATTCAATTTCTATGAAAATAAATATTTAGTTCCTATATTTATTATTTTACTTACAGTCAATAAATCACTCATATGTGGTATATTGAATGCCTCTGCCAGATTCTGAAGTGCTTTTGTAACAACTTCATCACTAGTATCATAACAGCGATTGAGTATAATCATGAGAACTTTTTTATGTGATTGTGCAGTTGTTGTAATTCGATTTGCTTCATATGCATATGAATCTGCCATAGATGTTGAACAAGAAACTTCAGTAGGCAGCAATTGCAATATATATTGTTGAGCAAAAACACGATGTTGTTTTTTTGTGCTGCTTGTAAATATCGTGAACCAGTTCATGTAATCTTCAAAATGATTAAAAGAAAGTGCTTTTACAAACTGTACTATAACCATAATTCTTTTACGGCGTATCTCAATTAAACCCTGTTATCAAATAACCATTTTTTGTTAATAAATATAATTTATATATATATAGATATATATACGAGGTCTGTTCAAAAAGTACCCGGAATTACTAATAATTAAATTTCGCGGGTCTGGAGTGTCTGATTGTCAAAATTTTTTTTTTATTGTGTTGGTATACATGCCCCTAAAGTATGATGAAATTTTCAGCTATATTCACTGTTTACTTTGTCTGTGGTAGTCGCTAAGGTTCGACGTGTTTTTCTGAGCTCGGCGATTTTTACAATGGAAGAATTGAAAAGTCAAAGAATTTGTATTAAATTTTGCGTAAAAAATGAAATAAAGTGTTGCAAAGTGCAAAAATTCACCAGATATGGCTCCGTGTGACTTTTTCCTATTCCCAAAGTTGAAGAGACCCATGAAAGGGCGGCGGTTTTCCTCGATTGAAGAAAATCGCTGAGAGTGCTCAAGGACATATCAAAAAGTGAATATCAAGGTTGCTTCGAAAATTGGAAAAAACGCTGGCATTATATCTGGGGGGGACTACTTTGAAGGGGACCACATTAATGTAGACGAATAAATAAATATTTTTTTGAAAAAACGAAAATTCCGGGTACTTTTTGAACAGACCTCATATATATATATATATATATATATATATATATATATATATATATATCACTAAACTTACTGGTTTTTCAGCACTTGTAATTGTCATACTCTTAACAAGCTGCAAAAATGTATCTGAAATACTATTTCCAAAATTCTCCATTAGCTTCTTGAAAAACTGAATAAGTTGTTTCAGATTCATAATTTGTTCATTAGCATTCAAATCCTTCATTTCACACATACTCAAAAAAGGTGTTGCATATTTTATTAAACTTAATAGTGTTTCTTCAGGTTTATTGAAGCAGAATAATCTGTATGCACAATCATAAATGTGAACCGCTAGATCTTGTAATGTAGCTGTTGAAAAACATATTTCTAAATATTTTTTTTAAATGGTAATTATAGGCCATAAAAATGCTCCTCCACATTAATATTATGTGTGATTGTTTACCTATAAACTTTGCACATATGCAAATATTTTCTGTATATCAAAAATATAAATGCATATTGCATACAACAATTTAACAATGTAACAAAAATTTTGGACATGTGCAATAAAATTAAATAATAATGGTATGCTATAATTTAAAGCAATCCATATAACATATCACTATATTTTAAACCTAGTAGATATTCAAGAAATGTGTCTAATTCTCACCATTTAATGCAACTACGGTTTTAATTAAACATCTCATTGTATGATCCAATGAGTAAGTATCTTTTGTATCAAAATTTTTTAGAGTCATCTCCCAATCCTGGAAATAATTTACAATTGATGTCTTATTCTTGAGCAAAGATCGGCCTATATCTCTTTGTGTGGAGTAGCAACAAGCTATTTCAATGCATTGTAAATAAAGATTTTGATGAAAAACATTCATCAGACGACTTAGAGGAAGATTTATCAATAATAAATATAAACTACATAATTCAAAAACTAATTCGGTTTTTTTCTCTTTTTTAGCATAATTCAATATGCAAAGAATAAAGCCCAAACATTTATGAACTTCAACGCCGTTATCTTCGATTAAGGGCCTCCAGGTGATTGAGGACAATTCAGGATTAGCAAAATATTCTCTTAAAGCATTGTTCGTATTTTTGATATTGCTTAAACAATCATTGTCTAGACGAAAGTCATATGAGATATCACAATCACTAAACTCATTCTCGACTACATAAGTTAGAAGATCGTTACTAATGTAGTGAAATGGTAGTTTTTGCAGAAAATTAACAAAATTCATTTTTATGATGTTATATTATTACATAGTCATTCTTTCTTAATCGAATTTATAAGTTAAAACTTTCTAATCAATTTAGCACATGATAGTATTTGTTTATATAAAACGCGCCAATAAATTTGACGTTTCTTCACGTCATAGAATAAAACAGTTCACGAGACATGCAGTTAGAAAATGGCGCAACCATAGATAAATAATCATCATGGGCGGCGCAACCATAAATAAATAAGCATTATGGATAAAAGGTGAGGTGAGTAAAAAATGGATAAAACAATTCATACTTCCCTTAGGTAAATAATCTCAAAAAAAACGAAAATGAATGTATGTGTGTGTGTGTGTGCGCGTGTGGTATGTGAGTGCGCGGATACAAATTTTCGTTGACGATTTCGCGAACACCTACACCCGATTTGGATAATTCAAAAAAACTTTCGATTCCTACTGATGAGTCATGCGATTAGTTTTTGTCAAAGACAGGTCTAGCTGTTTTGGAGACACGGGGCAAAAAGCGCCAAAAATGGTATTTCAGTTTTTGAGATAACGGAGCGTCCGATTTAAATAATTTAAAAATTATTTTACTTGCATTAACAAAATGAGCAACTGGTAAAATTTTTGTAAAGGCAGGTCTAACGTCTTTGGAGATCCAATAAAAAAATGTAAAGAAACAATGCATTTGACGGTCAAAAATGAGCATTAGACATATGTACATCATATTATCAGATATTTTAATAATAATTTAAGATTATAATAAGTACAAACTGCGTGTACATAAAATTTATATGGGTTATTTACGCGGGTTATTTATTTGATATTTCGACTCCAAATCAGCTATGCAGCGCGATTGCTTGAAAAAAAATGTTCAACATTTTCAAGAAAAATTAAAATACAAATCTAAAAATCTAATTTTTTCAAAGTTTTGTTTAATAATTTATTTTTCGGTACTGGAAGTTCCTGCAATGTGCCTTAAGGCGCGATGCCATACACCACTATATATAAAGCATAATTTTAATGTCTTCAATTTATAATTCAAGTATTATATATTCTACTTTGTACTTAAATTCTGTAAAATAAGTACATTTTTTATTTCAAAATCAATCAAGTTATTTTCTGACTCTTTACTGCTGTAAATTAAATCTGAATATAATTTTTTATTTCGAAGTCAATCAAGTTGTTTTCTGACCTTTTACTGCTGAAGTGTAAAAACTTTTTTCTCATTTTAATTTCATCTTTCTGTACTATAACAACAGAGAATACAAAACAAATGAAACATTTATTGCATGTATGAATATTTTCAAGTTACAAATTTTAGCTAAAATATCAGCTAAAATTTATAACTATTGAAAATAATCATACATGCAATACATGTTTAATTAGGGTTTTATAGAACTCTAGACAATATAATAGACTAAAACACCATCAACAAATTCTCAAATATGTTATAAATATCTCAAACAAATAACTGCAACATATGTAAGTCAATTGTATTTTCTTTCAATATATAAATCACATTAGACTACTCTTACATAAAGCAAATAAAAATGGTAATATAAAAAACTAAATGCATGAAAGCAAAAATAACAATGGTAAATTATACTTAAATTAAATGGTAAAATTATTTTCCTCGATTAAAGAACAGCAACACAATTCTGAAATCTACTTGCATTTAATATTAATGGATTAAATCACTTTTCAGCAGACTTAAGCTTCAAAGGAAATAATTTCATAATCGATTTTCATTTTTTCAAAATTGAAATTTTACAAGTTGCATTTACAATTAACCATTCATGTAACAAAAATAAAAAAAATTATTTACTTAAATATTTATAGTAAATTACTTAAATGAAACAAAAATAATTTTTTCAAATATGAAGAGGATCTAATGCAAATTTATCATATGTCAAAATTTTATGAAGTAATTCTAAATTATAAATTTTTTTGTCATAATAAACTTTTATTCCATATAAAAAAAACTAACATTATTATAAACCATCTAACAATTATTCTTATATCAAAAATAAAGGAAACTTTCCATATAAGATCAATAATACTATATAGTAAAGAACTTTAGTCAACAGTTATAACCTTAGTTTGCTTAAAAACTAGGTAATAATCAACAAATGGTATGTATCAACTCATAATTATCAATATGAAAATAACGTCAATTAAATGTTAAGTACTTAAAATCTAAATTCATAGCGTCAAAAACATAAATGGCAAATAACAGGTACATAGTTCCTAGTTCCTAATTCATAATATCTGGAAGATTATAACAAGCTTTAACTATATACTTGCCAAAAATATATAAGTTCAAATCATTGAACTACAAGAAGTAAAGAGTATCATCTAATGATGGATTAGGAGCCCTATGAAGGGATTGCCCAATCAAAAATGCCAACTTATGGGCATATTGACAAGGAGCAGGAACGCGGGATGTTCCTGACCAATTGTAGTACATGTGAGTTAACTTGTACGTGAGTCTCTGCATTTTGTCAGGAGGCAGCCCAAATGTGTCGTCAATAATATTGTAAGAAACAGGTGATACTGTACCATCCCTGACTGTCTGACTCACGAGGTAGAAATCATACCTATAATAATATTTTGCACATAAGCAATGAATAGTTTTTTTTGTAATATAAATTCTATACTTTCCTAAAAAGTAAGGAATTGCTTAAGAATATTTGATAATTATAATGCAATTTCAAAATATATTTGCAATAAAAGTTATTGTCATTTAAAATAAAACCTATACATTTGATACACCAATACATGAGACTCAGCAAGCTTTAATATATCTCATACTGATTGATGAATGTATGTTTTGTACTAACTTGAATCTTGAACTTAACATAATGCAATTAATATACTACTCACCGTTCAGGCAAAGTAATTACATCATCTACAACCGTGCCAGGTTCAGGATTTTTAGCATCAGCTGTAAATATGCGAGTATTTAAGCGTTTGCTTACAATGACGTAAGCCATCTTAGGGGGAGTGCCCTTATACATGTCACGCAACATGAACTTCATTTGTTTTACTTCTTGGTTGTAAACATATTGGAGTTGTCCATCACCTACACCATCTCGATAAAATATGATTCTTTGTGGAAAAGCTCCATTAACAGAAGCAAACTTGTGAAGAGCCTCTGTTGACAAATGATTCAGCATTTTTATATATAGGTAACCACTATATTATATATATTAGTGAATTTGAGTTAAATTGTACAAAATGTTAGACAATACTAGACATTAATAGTTGACAACTGATGCAGGTCATAAAGTGTAAAACTTTAACAATTTCGAATTCAGCTTCTAGTTTGCTTAACACATAAAATAAGAAAGAAGTGTGTAACTAAAATTCAATTATCGTTATTTCTCATCATTGTCAGTTGCAGTCGAAAGTTTAGTTAATTGTGGAAAGTGTTATATCTGCAGAAATTAGTTGAATAAATTACCACAAAAACTTACTTGTAACATTAACAACCAAATCATCAGCAAGTTCTTGTCCTGGCTGTTGAACACTGATCGCTGAGAAATATTTTGTTAAATTCTGATCCAATGAGGCAACCATAGCACCATAGGAACGGGACTTACTTTGTGTGTCATGGCATACATCAAAACCAATCACCATTAAACCCTGCGTAACAAACATAATTTTAATAAAATATTTTAATATTTAGTGATAATTAGCAATCAAAAATTTACTTACAGATACAGGTATTTCAACCGACCAAGGTGCACCACCCACTTTGCAACTCATCTGAATTGCAACTTTTGTAGCTATTGACATAACACCACGAGATGTTAGATTTTTGCTCAAAATAACTTGAGTTGGCACTGCACGGTCCACACAGGCTTTTTTCTTAATGCCCGAATATCTAATATTTAAACAAACAGGTTTAAATTAAAAGTACTTAAGCAGAGTAAAAATAAAATTATGCAAAATGAATTATACCTGTCATTCCTGTTATTAGGCACAACACACATTATTATATCTGGATTTCCAGAACCCAATATTCTTTCTAGTTCATCAACGTAGGTTGAAGTTCGATCATCACGCAAATCATTACTGAAACAGTTATAAATTGTAATGAGACATTTATCACATGGAATATGTAGCTTAACTTTTATACTTACTAAATAGGATTGGCCATTGTCACTTTCATTGCTGCAGATGATTTCTGCAAGATCTTGACAAATTCAAAGATATCTTTCCTGAAGTTTGTCGGGAAAAGCACATGCCATGTACGAATAGGAACAATATGCAATAATGGATTTGATCGCACATCTTTTATCCAATCTAAATTGCGTCCTACAGGAACCCTAAACAAAACAAAAGCAAATTTGTAAGTATGAATTTGAAACTATTAATACTAGTGTACTTAGTATTATTACTTGACTGATCCCAGAATTATAGTTTCATATGGAAGTACTCTTCCTGATAAATCAATTAAGTTATTGTCTAACTTCATTTGCCAGGCAGACAGTTCTTGTTGAGTCTCAGGAGTATTTCTCAACCTCTGATTGAAATCCAAAAGTTTTTGGATTCTGTTATCAGGACTAACACGTGTATGCTCAGCCAAGGAGCTCATAAGCTGATTATTGTTTTTCATCTGATCTATAATGAGGATTATATATTATGTTATAAGACAAGTCTTTTATAACTAATGTAAAAAAATCAGATTTAAATTACCAGTCAATCCAGTAGTTCGACAGAGTTCTGGAACTAATGCCTGAAGCTTGGCAAGTCCAGACCTAATGTCCTTATCAGTAGATCGGCTAATAAGCATAGGTTGGGATTTGTCTCTTATTGGCACACCATATCTCTGCAATATTTAAATTTTATATAATTCAGGAACGAGATAAAAGAAGACCAAAAACTTACATCCTTATAATATTGCATAAAAGAAATATCTTCTCCTGTACGCTTCTTGAATGTTGATGCAGGGCTCATGTTCCAATCCACACCATCAACTCGATAAGTCTTATTGTTGTAGTCTGTCAAGACCACAGTACCTATAAAATATGTACATTTTTAGAAAGAATGTATATAGGTGTAAATGTAGAATTTTTAAGAATTGAATAAGTTCTAACCCATAATGTTTCTTTCAAATTCTTCTCTGAAGTTTGCAGATCTCTTACAGTCCATAAGAATGTCATGAGCAGTGCTTAAACGCATTACTTTATGGGTAATTTCACTGCACATAAGGATTCCAGTTTCATGCTGTCTTATAGATGTAACATAACCAGGCCATAATTGTAGCTTATGTTTAGGAATGTTGATCTAAAATATCAAGTATAGTGTTACATCAAGTCAGCAGTTTTATGATAATTCTTTTTATCAGAAGAGCATATTATTTAATACCTTTGCTAATGCATCAAAGTAATTGCGACCAACTAATTGAAGTTTCAAACCTTCAAAACATTTACGCATAAGAATATTGAAGAATTGAAGATACTGATAATCTCCTGCAGTTATCTGACTCGCCAACTAAAATAAAGAAAACCATAGAAAATTATTAATGAATATGCTTTAAAATCTGCAAATAAATATATCTCAAATTACTTTAATTCGAATCAAAATTTGACTGCCATCAGACTTTCTGGTTGAAGTCAATTCAATTGGATCAGGATTCAATCTGTGCGAACAATATAAAACAGTTCCATCAAAAATATATCCTCCGATTGTGTTTTTGTGATTTGCTAGTAAAGCTTTTCTAACAAAAGTCCGGTCCTCCTCTGGCGACATATCAACTCTATATTGATAGAGACACCAATTCGTCTGATGAAGTAGGCGGAAATAATTAGCTTTTAGTCTAACAGGACGACCAGTAGAACCTAATAAATAATTATAATCAGTAAAATCAGGTATTGATTACTTATTTGATTATGTCTAAAATAATTCATTGATAATAATAGTATAGTGAATATTGCATATTATTTTATATTAATAACTGAAATAATTTATTTAGAATTATTCATTCATTAAAAAGCATAAAAACAAGAAGTACAATATTATTGCCAAAAAATTGGAAAGAATTTTTGAAAATCGTATGAGATTGTATTTACCTTGTTTGACGGTAATGGTATCCGGTTTAGTACGTATAGTATCCAAACTAGTTGCCAAACGGCCTCCTCTCATTGATCCTCTGCCAGCACTTGTGGGTACATCTCCACCAACAGTACGTACACCTGTTATTATACAACATACAGTAACATATATCATTGAAATTTAAATTTAATTTTATTTAAATCAAAAGTTAAATATAAAATACATACTTTTAGTATCTTTACCGCTTTCAAATCCTTCAGGTCTGCGTGTCAATGCCCTACCAGTCTGAAATTAAAATGTGGCAGTGAATATAAAACTCTAATATAACATAACTAAATGTAACTAAAGAAACCCAATTTATATATTTCAAATAAAAACTGATAAAGGCAAGCTTATCACAAATTATGGCTGTACAAGTTTAAAAAATTTGATTAGACTAAATAATATAAAATGGATGAAGTAGAACTATCAAATATCAAATTAACTATGACATCAGTTATTAGCAATTAAATTTAAGTAACTAAATGCACAGATATCTGAGATGTAAATGGATTATTATAAATTTGAATCGAAATATCTATGTAATAATAATAATAGTAATAAGAATAAATTATACATATAATTTCAGAAATAACTCACAGCTTGTTGCACAGTAGGCACACCAGGTCTAATAGTTTCACCACTAGGTTGATAAACAGGAGCCTGCAGTACAAAAATCAGAATTTAAAAATAATATTCAAATCATTATAAGTTCGATGATAAGCAAAATAAATATGTCACATTTGCATTACTATATTCACGAACTTGCCATAGAAAAATACAAAATACAATAAAAATAAATAGAATAACAAATAGATAACTAAAATATAATGATTAAAAATTTGATGCAGTTTTGTTGATAAAAACTGCACCTCAATTTCTACATAAACTTAACACTAAGAATATCCTCTGCTTTATCTCAATATTCAATAACTCAATATTAACTTACCGGTTGTTGCATTGGAGGTTGACGCTGCTGCGGATGGCTCATTCCTGGAGGAGGTTGTGCCTGAAGAAATTTTTATATCATTTATTGCAATGTGGGATTTGGCCCTATTTTTTTATATTAAAATATAAATTCATGATGCAACACATTGATTTTGATACATTTATAACAAACTAACATTTTAAAACAATTATAATTAGAAGAGTTTGCCATATGGGTCCATTGTTTTTTATTTTAATGAAAAACTTTGCTTACCCTCTCTGAAATCCGTTCAGCCATTGTGCGTCCAGGTTGAGATGGGAGTGACGTTGGCCCAGGTCTCTGGATAAGTATTTCATAAGTGATTTGGTTAGTAATTTTTAAAAAAAAAATTAGAACATATAATTGTGAAACAAATTCATATTTTAATCGAGTGGATTAAACAAAAAACGCAGGAACGCGTGGCAGGGTATTCTAGTGTGTACATATATACATACATATATATATATATATATATATATATATATATATACATATATATATATACATATATATGCATATATATATATATATATATATATATATATATATATATATATATATATATATATATATATATATATATATATAAGGTTGGTCCTTAAAATGGTCATTTTCGAATTTGCTTGCTCCCAGGGGCTCAAATGGTTCCATATAGATAAAAAACAATTCTCTGAAAGTTTTAGTTCTTAATATTAACGTTTAGATAGAGCACAATTCAATCAAAGTTTTGTATAGAAATAGCATGGAAAAAATTTCAAAAGTTTTAAGAATGTTTTTTAGGTGTAATCTAGCGAGCAAATGAATGAATAAAACTCATTCATTTGTCGCTAAGTTATACCTAAAACATTTTTTTTTAAATTTTATATATATATACATATATGCATTTATATATATCTACAAGCATGCATACATACAAGCATGTATGCATTTATACATGTATTGACGTATATGCATGTGAATACGGATATACATATGTGGTAATACACAAGGCTGTGTATGCTTGTGTGCAAACATGCATGCATGCTATGTGCTTATGCGCACATGCATGCATGCTATGTGCTTATGCGCAAACAGACACACATGCATGTGAATGTATATAACATATGTGTATATACATATGTGGTTGTGTACTAATACACAAGGTTGTGTATGCTTGTGTGCAAACAGGCATGCATGTCTGTATGTCTGTCAATATGTGTTCATGTGTGTGCGCAAACACACATATGCATATAACATATGTGTAACAAGGCTGTGCATGTTTGTGGGCAAACATGCATGCATGGCTATGTGCTTTTGTGCAAACAGAAATATATGCATGTGAAGGCGTATAGTATAACATATCATGTGCATATACATATGTGGTTGTGTAATAATACACAAGATTGTGTATGCTTGTATGCAAACACACATGCATGGCTATGTGCTTGTGTGCAAACAGACATGCATGGGAATACATATATCATATGTATATACATATATGGTTATGCACTAATACACAAGGTTGTGTATGCTTCTGTGCAAACATGCATGCATGTGTATTTGCATGTATACATATATATGTGCAAGTGTTTAAACGTATATGCATGTATATAATTATGTGTCTACAAATGTGTGTATGCATATACAAAGATGTATACAAAATGTGTGTATGCATATACAAAATGTGTGTGTGTGTATGCATATACAAAATGTGTGTATGCATATACAAAATGTGTGTATGCATATACAAAATGTGTGTATGCATATACAAAATGTGTGTATGCATATACAAAATGTGTGTATGCATATACAAAATGTGTGTATGCATATACAAAATGTGTGTATGCATATACAAAATGTGTGTATGCATATACAAAATGTGTGTATGCATATACAAAATGTGTGTATGCATATACAAAATGTGTGTATGCATATACAAAGATGTCTACAAATGTGTGTATGCATATACAAGGATGTCTACAAATGTGTGTATGCATATACAAGGATGTCTACAAATGTGTGTATGCATATACAAGGATGTCTACAAATGTGTGTATATGTATATACAAATGTGTATAAACATGCATGTGTAAATACAAACATGTATAAAAATGCATGTCCATATACAAATGTGCATAAACATGCATGCCTATATACAAACGCATATAAACATGCATGTCAATATACAAACATGTATAAAGATGCATGTGTATGTGCTTGCATGCAAACACACATATTTGCTGTGAATGCACATGTGTATAGTCACGCATGCTGTGCATGCTTATGTGTACAAACATGTGCATGTGTAAAAACTTATATGCATGTGCAAGTGTGTATGCTTATGTGTACAAAAATATGTGCACGTGTGAAAACTTATATGCATGTGCAAGTGTTTAAACATGTGTCTACAAATATATAACTTTTAACTGCCAGTCTGTAATGTTTTCGGTATGCGTAATCACTACAAGACTGTTTCAAAAAATTTTATCACATCATTGGAACATCTCAAAATTATTTATGGTACATTTCAAGTAATTGAAAAATCTTACCATTGTTTCGGGTGCTTGTCCAGGTCTTGGAGCTTGACCCGCAGCTGGTGGGGCTTTAGCACGGCCCCTTGCCCGCCCCATTTGTGGACGATTTGGATTCATATTTGTAATCCTACAACAAACAAATTTATATTACTGTTCAGCCAAATTCAAACATAAAAATTCCATTACTTATTATATCACTTTAAATATATCGCTAAATCTATGGTAATAAAGATAGAAGGTATAAACAAGAACTTAAAGAAGAATCAGAAAAATAATGACAACTTTAAAAATACTCAAGAACGCGGTCAACTTACAGGACGTTTTATATATACAAAGCCGCCATATTACATTTGCGACTAAGCGAAAATTTTGGTTATCACAGCAATAATTTAATGACTCGATAAAGTACTGCTGTCTTACACTTGTTTTTTTATTAATAAAGTATTCTTAAGCATTCAATGCAGATAAATGAAATAAAAGTAACCTGTATTTGAAGCCAGTCGACGTTCATCAACAGGTTTCATATTACATTGAAGAAATCATTATTTTTCTCATACAACATGAATTTCATTGAGAATTTGTATATGATATCTGTTTAACTCACCGTTTAAACTAACTTCTTCAATATTCTGCAAAGTTTTCAGCATGGACGGCGAAATTAAACACGAGGTATAATTCAATAACATTCGAAAGAAACAGAACCAAACAGTCTTTCATGCAGCTTAGGTGCTCAAATCTTGATCACAGAATAAATTAGTATTGCCAGCGCTGAAATCATGGCGAATTCAAGCCAAAGATCATAGATAAAAGAAGAGTAGCCGAAGATATTCACAGACCATAAGAACATAGATAAAAGAAGAGCATGAGAATATGAGAATTTCTCATGAAACTCTCTCTTGGTACGCTTTAAGCGTTCACAGCGGGGTTACATGAAACTTGAATTATTCAAATAAACAGTTTCATTTACTTTCATTGCAAATTTTTAAATTAATTTATCATATTTATTATTTTGTGAATGATTTGTGTGTTTTATTACATTCGATAAAAATAAGGCCCTCGTGTAGTAGTGCAATAAAACTAAAAAGCTAAGGAATAGTAAAGTTGAATCATTATATAAAGTATTATTTGTTATCAAAAAGAAAAGTTGTAGACACATATTACCTAATTTACTAATGACTTGGCATTAATATTCCAATTATAAAATATACTTTAATACTTCTATTTTATTATAATTTTTGTAAACGGCACGATGAGCCGTATTTGACTTATAAGTTTAAGCCCTGAATCTCTCGCCCGAAGCTACTACCTTCCTTGGTCAAAGAAAGTACTTAACTTGCATACAACTTGGAATGACTTTTAGGATGCTAATTCATATATTAATGTTGTATAATTTGCCCCTCATTTGATAGGTAAACGCATGGTAAATGCTTACCAATCACCAATCTATTATTGAGCTGTTTTTACCTTGTAGTTTGACAAAAAAATTTGAAATGAGATTTTCCATATTATCATTTATCTAATAAATTAAAAAAATATGCTTAAACCAGTAGAGAAGTAAATCACATATTCATAAATCATGCACATTAACAATGTTTGACATTGAGTAATAAGGGCGCTTGATAATCAGCATTACTTGCCACTTGCATTACATATATTGTATTTATTGTAAAGTTATCCATCAAAATTCACTGATCTTTGCAACTAATTGGTTTCATTTTTAACATGTTTTTTGTGGAATTAAAGAAGTGGTAATCTATCAAACTATTGAGAGCACAAAATATTCATCGTTGTTATATAAAATTTCTTAATCTTGCAACCTTCATCTCAAAAAATATTTAGTATTTTTCTATTTTAAATTATCCAGGGCAAAACATCTATCCCTTGAATTGGGGCTTATTGTCCAAATTATATGAATAATTTGGAATTTAACAAAAATAAATGGATTGCTTGTCAATAAAATTTAAATTCTATTAGTATAATCTTTATTATAAAGACAAATGAAGTAGAGCTTGGAAACTATCATTTGTGTTCCAAAAAATGTAAGTTTCACCAAAAATGAATTGTGATAAAAGCCAAAAAAGTGAATATCACCAGCGAGTTGTGCGAGAGATCCTTACTTAATAGATTGTTGCAAATTCCAATTATTTTTCCTTTAGGAAACAGTTACTATAATTACTTTGACTTCCATTCACGGTTTCTTTAAGATACAAACATATGCAAATTGAGAAAATAATATATTCATGATTAGAAGTGTTGCAAACAATTTTATATTGGGTTCTTCGGAAAGTAACTTCGTTTTTTGGAGACATTTTGGCACGTAATTTTTGTACAATAAACAATAACTTTAATAAATTATGTATTGGCAGTTTTGATCTAACATCTTTTATCATATTTCTGAAATTAGCATAATTCCAAGAACATAAATTTTTTGGTCGTTATTGGCCAAAAACTGATCAAAGTGCTTTTTGATGCTGATTTGAGGTAAAGGTTATACCGCTTAAAAATTATTTTAGTGGACGGAACAAATAGTAGTCCAATGATGGCAAGTCTGAAGAATGTTTCATTGGGTCCCATTCAAGCTACAAAAGCTTTTGGCAATCGACCAAACTTATGAGATCTTGCGTCATCTTGATGCAGGACTATACCTTGCTTGTGGGTTAATTCTGACATTTTCTATTGAAGTTTATCATTTAGTTTATCCAGCTGATGACATGAGGCATCCGAATTAATTGTTATGTTATCCTGGAAAAGCAGAAAAAAGACTAACTCCTTTAAAATCTTAACAACATACTGCATCACCTTTTTCTGGTAAATTTCTGTTTTGCACCTGTTTTGAGCAGATTCTTCTTTTTTGTTTCATGGGCTATTGCGTGTATTGTATTCTTTACATTCCATTTGATTCCTAGTGACAATTTGCTTCAAAACCACACATTGAGTTTCAAGGAAAATCCCAGACCTTTTGAGTGGTCACAAACTATTAAATTTGATAAAATTTAACTCAGTGGGATCTCATGTATTGTTATTCACCGATTTGCATCAACTAATGCCTTTCTCGCGTCTTTATCAGCTTCCACCGTGTTTCTTGGACTTGGTGCATCTTGGATATTAAAATACCAGGAATGAAATTTAGCAAACCAGTTTTGACACTGTCGTACTATCAACACGCCATTTCCGTACACAAACAGTATTTTTACCTTTTCTATAGCAAGAGAGTAAAATATGTCAAAAATGCTGATCAATTCTTTCTGTATTCAAGTGGTACCATCCACAAACTACTGCATGTAATTGATTAGAAATTTTTACACACAAGCCTTAAAATATAGGTTTTCAAATCATATAATAATAATTGAGCTGAAGTGTGATGCTAGGTTCAAAAAAATATAGTTAAATGCTGATGGTAAAAAAACGAAGTGACTTTCCGAACAACCTTATAGAATGTTTATCGCATCAGTTTTTTTCTATCAGGCTATATTAATCGTAATTAATTTACTGCAACTATACTATAACTATTTAGCAAAACCATTTGTTTTCGGGTTATTCCTCGGAATAATCAATAATTTTATTCCATTATCAAGGGTTTTTTGTTCAGATCAGATCAGATAAAATTAATCAGAAAACAAAAAGAGTGGTTATGAAAATCGTTAACTTCTTAAAAAAAATGATTGAAGCTAAATGAAAACCATATAAAAATTTTATTATTAAGCATATTTATTTATCTATGCATTAAACCATGAAAATATTATTATTTTGTCTCGAATGAAAACAGTCGACTGTCAAATTAAAAGATGTCGGCTGGTCAGTTTCACCTTCTTGCCGCTAGAAACGCCCAACGTGTATTAAGTGACAGTTTTATTGACGATACGCATTAAATTTTAATTTGACTTTATTATAATTATTTATGTATACAAATTTTATCGATATTATTTGTTTAACCTATAAGTTTGAAAGTATTTGCACCTAGTATTCTAATAAGTGATCTTAATAATTATATTATATCTTATTTTGTCATTAAACCCATCTTCAAATTAGTACAAAATTTTAAGTCTGTTCTTATTATGTCGGACCCCCAAGAACAAATCCGCGAATGTGCATCGAGAACAACAGCTGGTAGCCCAAGACTCCAACTGCCCAGCCCTATTATTACCAAAAGAAATCGCACGGCCTCCACGTTAGTAATTTTGGAATCTTAATTATAAATTTTCAATAATAAAATTTCAATTTGTAGATCTGCTAGAGCTTTAGAAAATCCTCAGGAACTAGGCGTAATTAAATCCTTTTGTCGCAATAAGGGTCATGGATTTATTACACCACAGTCTGGAGGGGAAGCAATATTTGTTCATATATCAGAGTAATAATACTTTTACTTTAAGTGAAGAAGCTCTGCTCATTATAACATTTTATCATATTCTTTCAGCATTGAAGGTGAATATGTTCCTTTACCGGGTGATGAAGTTACTTATAGATTATGCTTCATTCCACCTAAGCTAGAAAAATGTCAAGCTGTACATGTTCAGATTGTAAATTTAACTCCAAAGGTTCATACAAAATGGGACTGCCCTTGTCCAGATTCAGAACATAATTAGAGATATAAAATTTCATAAATCAAATTCACAGACAAATTTTATGAAAATGCCATAGCCCTATAGAGGTTTTTAGCCATGTTTTATATAATTGAAACCGTAAATAAATATGTATTTCATGTGAGTAACTCCTATTTACTTAAGTGTTATGGAGACACTTGTGTTAAGTCCCTCACATAAACAAAATTTAAACAAGATGATAAATTTTTAGTCAGTCTATAACTTGGAGAAACCTAGTTGCTCTTGTCTGGACCTAACATAATGCATTTTTATTCTTAATATTATTGCTAATTTTTATTATAAGTATGATTAACATAATGCTGTTTCAATCCAATTTAAATCGTATTAATAAAATAATGCTAAATTGTACTTAATACATTGAAGGTCTGTATGTTTCATGAAATAATTCATAAGTAGTCAAGAAAACTTGGTAACGTAAAATGTATATAAAATTGCTTTTTATACTGTTTTTTATTCCAATCATATTTAGAGCCAAATTATTTTTTTTTAGATATTTTATGTAGTGGCTATATTTTGTTTTATATTGTATATAACTTTATAAATAAAAGATGATATCATAATGATACTTATATTTTATGACCAATGTACTTGATGTTTTTTTTTATTGCATCCTTCTAATGAGAATCTCACATAATTATATTTTTAATCGAATTAACATTTAGTTCCTAGTTGTTCAAACAATATTATGACTATGTAATATATGATCTTTACATTGCAAAGTTTAAATTTGTAATGTGCCTAAGATCATGAATATATTAACAATGAGATAAGTTGATCAGCCAAATTTATTTCTTATTAAGTATATTTAATAAGAAATACTATTTATTTTAAAATTAAGTATACTTAAACTACTAACACTAGAAGATTTAATATTATATCGAAAAAGAAAAGTATATCCTTGCATATGCAATGCTATACTTTCCTTTTTCGAAGTTTACAGGTCAAATGTAAATTTGATCAGCATATCAAAGTACTTAAAGATATTTATAATTGCACATCATTAATTTGGCTGCAACTTTGCCCTTATTGTCAAAAATTAGTGCAAAATATATTTTTAATTGCTTGATTCAAACATATTTGAAAAATTGATTGTCATTGTAAAGAATTGCTTCGGACATACGTAATAACAAATCTCTCATTTAACAGTATCTTGAAATCATTTTTACAGCAGCAAACAAAAGGTAAAAAGTAATAAACTTTAATGAATTTATATAGTCAAATCAGTTTTCGTAGGCCTATAATGTTTTAGGATGCTCGTTAAGACCATGAATTTCATTATCATACAAATTTCACCAAAATCGACATACGATATGGGAATTCTAAAAAAACGGCTCGACCGCTCCATTTGACTTACACGCAAAACCTAACGTGAGTCCTTACCTGATATCATCCAGTGGTTTTACAAATCCTGAAACGTAGACAAAAGACCAATTTTTGGTGTCAAAATCGGATTTTTTGGCGAAAACGAACTTCTCCTTCGTGGTGAGAAGAATATCAAGAATCAGTTTCTTCCGATATTTGCTTCTTTTGTTTATTTTCTCTAAGTTGATAAATGTTTCTATAAATATATTCATTCTGTTCCTTTATTCAACTTTTTCGGTATTTTAAAATATTTTAGGAAATTTCTATCTTTTACGACATCATCATCAGCAATTGATTTTGGCGAAGTACTGTTATCTGTATCCTGGTTAGAACTCATAGATAAAAAGTCAACTTCCCTAATAATACGAGAAACTTTCGGACGGTTTGATTTCTCTAATGTTTTATTAATATGAGGTTTCCTACTTATTGTTTTAGTCATATTAGGAACATTTGTCTTCTCATCTTCCATACAATTTGATTTCATGTCACTACTTTTCTGAGGTATTTTAAAATATTTTAGGAACTTTCTATCTTTTACGACATCATCATCAGCAATTGATTTTGGCGAAGTGCTATTATCTGTATCCTGGTTAGAACTCATAGACAAAAAGTCAACTTCCCTAATAATACGAGAAACTTTCGGGCGATTTGATTTCTCTGTTTTATTAATATGAGGTTTGCTACTTATTGTTTTAGTCATATTAGGAACATTTGTCTTCTCATCTTCCATACAATTTGATTTTATGTCACTACTTTTCTGAGGTATTTTAAAATATTTTAGGAACTTTCTATCTTTTACGACATCATCATCAACAATTGATTGTGGCGAAGTGCTGTTATCTGTATCCTGGTTAGAACTCATAGACAAAAAGTCAACTTCCCTAATAATACGAGAAACTTTCGGGCGATTTGATTTCTCTGTTTTATTAATATGAGGTTTGCTACTTATTGTTTTAGTCATATTAGGAACATTTGACTTCTCATCTTCCATACAATTTGATTTTATGTCACTACTTTTCTGAGGTATTTTAAAATATTTTAGGAACTTTCTATCTTTTACGACATCATCATCAGCAATTGATTGTGGCGAAGTGCTGTTATCTGTATCCTGGTTAGAACTCATAGACAAAAAGTCAACTTCCCTAGTAATACGAGAAACTTTCGGACAGTTTGATTTCTCTAATCTTTTATTAATATGAGGTTTGCTTCTTATTGTTTTATTCATATTAGAAACATTTTTCTTCTCATATTCTATACAATTTGATTTCGAGTCACTACTATTCTGAAATTCCGGATTTCTTGCTGTTTTCTTTATTAAACCACGTAATTCCTTTCTAAAGTCTACATTTTTATTTTTCTTCATTGTAATATCATCAGTTTCTGAAGAATTTTTGTGTGATTTTTCCTGATGTTTTTCTTTGTAACGTTTCTTACGTTTTTCTCTAATTATATACTCATTGCCATTCGTACAAATACTATCATTTTTATAATTTCCGTCAGTCTTATTGGAATATTCAGTTGATTTTCGCCGCGAAGGACAAAATTTCTCCTGATTTGTTTTCACTTGAACAGTACTTTCAGCAGGAACGTATTTGTTAAAAGACCAATTTTCATTGCTTGTTGCATTGATTTCATTTGCGAATTTGGTTTTTTTCTCAGAATATGATTTATGCTTATTCTTTATACGTTCAAGATTTATTTCAACGTTCTTTGTTTTGTCAGATTTATCAGAATGCCTTTTGAGCTTTTTTCTTTTGTCTAATTTAAAATTGTTTTCGGTCATATTTGTGTCGATATTTTGATCATTAATAAAATTATTAAGCGGAGTACTTTCCTTAAGATGGCACAATTTTTTATCATGCGATGAACTAGAAGATCTTGAATTATTATCCAATATTGCTTCGGTATCCATATTAAATTCTTTAATACTTTCTTCAACTACATTAACACAGTCATATAAGTTATTACCATCCTTTTCAAAGGTATTTTGTTTTCTGCATTTAAATTGATTTGATGATTTTTACTAATAATATTGTCTTCTGCATTATTCTGGACTTGGCCTGTGGCTAAGTCAAGTTTTGTATTCAGTTTTAGTATGCATTTATCATATTCTAGGCTATCTTTTAATTCATCAATGTCGTTATGTATATTCTTTTGTTTCTTATTTGGATAATTTAAATCCGTTTCTGTAGATAATTTTCTCTTGATTGTTTCGTTTGTCACATTGCAATGTAATTTATTCGCCTTATCAATATTTTTACTTTTTGGTAATGACTGATTGCTGATAGGCTTAGTATTCAACGAGAGCTTACCATAGTGATTATAAACTTCTAAATCATATTTAGAATTCAATTTGTCATTCAATTCAAAAGTATTATTTTCAATTATTTCTATATTCTTCCAAAATTCTACACTATCTGACGGGTTGGCGTATGGAATTCTTAAGGGAGAATTGCAGTATTTTATTTTCGTAACTGCATTTTCATTATCGCAAGATGTTTGTAAATTATTAATAGATACATTCAACTTCATCTCCTGCATTATTTCTGTAATATTTTGAGTACTTTTATCACTTGCACAGGATTCAAAATGAACACCCAAATTCGGAACATCTTGCGTAACTTCACCATTAGCTCGATCATCTGATATATTAGAGATACACTTATGCATTTTTGGATCAATATTTTCATTTCTTGCCTCATCAAGAGCTAAAAGATCATCATCGGATCTATACAGTTCATCTATTTTTATAAAGCTCTTGTTCGAGAGTATAGAGGAACAAAAGGTAGAAAATATTTTGGACCCTAATTCAATATTCTTTTCGAATACACTTTTGCTATTTTCCGCATGTAAAACAATAGTTGCAGATGCAGAAAATAGAGCTCTGTAAACAATGCTAGTGTTTCTATTATTATTACACATGTGAGATTTGATTTCGTTTCTACTGAACTCCTTAAGAGACAAAATTAGCAGCGTATCGTCAAAGATTAATCCAATATTTTCTATTTGCGTATTATTTTTATTTATACTGTATGATGAACTATTATATAATGAAGAAAATAAAATTTCGTAAACGTTAGTAGAATTTTGTTTGTCTACTATTCCTACATTATTATTAATGAGACTATTTTGTACGCAAGGAATTGTACCTATAATGTCCAAATGATTATTATATAAGTCTGAAAATCCTATTTTCGAATTGGTTTCGAAAGCTGATACATAAGCAGCATTTGATTTTTGTTCCAATACCTTTGTATTCAAATTAGCACTAGAAGCTGGTGAAATAGGCAAGTTTTGCTTGAAGAACTCATGCTTTAATAAGTTATTGTCTTCAGATAAATTCATATATTCAATAGATTTATCAGCATCTTTGGTTGTGCTTACATTATTGGTGTTTAAACTATCTCCAATGGAAGATATTGTAGCAGAAGATGTATCAATATAATTAATGTTATCGGGTTCAACAGTACTTTTCTCAATAAAGTGTGATTTTGATATATTTTTTGCTTTTTGTTCTGTCTTTACTTCTGATGGATTCTCTTTGATACTACCTAGTTTGACTGCATCTTCGATATGCAATAGTTGTTTTTGTAAATATTCTCTAATACTTTCTTCTAAATTGCATTTCAATTTTATTTTGACTTGAGTTGTCGCTTTATATACTTTACCTAAACTATTTTGTTGGTCAAGTAAATCAAAAATATAAAATTGATTATTTATATTATCAAAATCATTCCACTTTGCATCAGTAGGCAAAAGCAAAAGGATTGTTTTAATCGTTGATACTTGCTCCATTTTCAGTGAATCACAATCGTCTTCGAAATTTCTATTTATATTCTGGTGACTAGATACTGGCTTTATATCAATAATTGATATGCATGAAAATGATGTAGAATTTTTTAATTTTGGTGATAGCTCACCTATATTAGTATGAATTATGTCTTGAGCTTGGTCACCGTTTTTATTTTCCATATCAATTGCATTTAATTTTTCCCTATGCGCTCTACTCAAATAAATTTTAGCCAAAATTTTATTCTTTGTCGAATCAGTCTTCTCTGAACAAACCTTTTGACTTTGTTGGATGCTTCGAATGGCATTTTCAATTTCAAGTTGCTTAGTAACACTTCTAGTATGCCGTTTATATTCTGATATAGGTAAAACGGATATTTCCGTAACGCGATTTTTCCTATATTTTACTCGCAAGTTACGTTGATACTTCATTTTACTTAGATAAACACTGCGATATGGAGATTTTTTTATTAAATTCTTATCCCGTTTAGAGATTATTTTATTGTAAGCCTTGTAAGAATTTTTGCACTTCCATGGAGCAGTCTTAGATGCAGTTTTATTCTTTGGTTTAGTATACTGTTTAAGAAAATTAGTTCTTCTGCGGGGTTTTGTCTCGTTTTGACTAATGCATGGCGATATTAAATCTGGCGATTTTGAAGGACTTGTTTCTGATGACTTATTAGTATTATTAATACTAATGTGATCTAATACTTTAGAGTTTGATTTTGTCAATTTTGCGAAATCAATTTTAGACGTTGATATACTACACTGGAGACTAAAATCATTCAATCTATTCCCTAAGAGCTGTTCATCTACATTTGCCGTGAGCCTAGATTTAGCATTGCCTTCATTATTTTGTTCAAGATCCAATATTTCATCTTTTTTAATATCATTAATTTTAGTGTTTTTCTTTGGTATTAAATTTTTCCTATATTTGGAAAATTTGGTTGGAACAGGCAAATTACTTATTGAACAATCCGTATTTTTGTCGTGAGCAAAATTTGATGTACCCAACCGAGAACTTCGTTCAGATTCTCGAGCAATGTGTTTCTTTTCTAATTTATCTTTTAAATGAAATCGATTGAAAAACTCTCTTTTTTTCAAATAAACTTTGCTCTTTCCTGAGTTTGATTTTTCTTGGGGATATTTATTAGACAAAATGAGCTGTTTTGAAGCATCGGTTTGAAGTTTAAAATTTAAATTTCTGTTAAATGATTGATAATTACCCAAGATATCGTGAAGTTTGACAGCATTTGATATGTTTTCGTCTATCGATTTATTTATATCAGGTAGACTCTTCATATACGCCAATTCTTCAACACTGCATGATTCCAATGCCTTGGGTAGAAAATGAACACCCGCCAATCTCTTAACAGAAAACTGATCATTTTTTGCAGTATCACGATTTTCTGAAAATAGAAATATATATCTAAATTATATTGCATTTTATTTTTTATAAGTTTTATTATATCAAATTTTTCAAAAAATTATTAGAATACAACCAATACTTAAAATTAACTTAATAATTCAATCATAAATCTTACCTTTTGTTTCAGAGAATTCAGGAACTTCTGAGTTTTTATTATCAGCAAAATTTTTAGGCTCCTTAGGGATGACGGTAATAAATTTTTTATTATGTTCTTCTTTGCTTGTACTTGATTGTAGATCGATTAATTTATCCAGTTTCGAATCCGGTGTACTTTGCGCACCTAATTGCTTAGAATTAAAAAACAAACGGCTCATATTTGAATTTTCATTAGAAAAAATATTTAAATTTGGCAATGAGTTTTTTTCTGGTATATGAGGGTAACTTTTGGAAGACTGTACTTGTTCTTTACTTCCTATAATTTTTATCCTGTTATCACAATTTAGATCAAATGTATTTTTACGTATAGATCGCAAAGGCGATTTAGGGCAAGCTTTCTGAATTTCATCCTTAAGTACCGAAGCATTATTCACAACTTGCAATGCAGTTTTATACTCATCTTTATTCATTTCTAATGCTGTAGTCTCTTTTCTATTGATGCCATTGTTGAAATTTTTTGCAACTCTTGTGTAATCATAGCCATTGTTAATTTTTCTTTGATTTTCTCTCATTGTCATGCCGAAATCGCTAACAATATCATTCCTCGGTATTCTTGATTGCTTGAAAATATTATTCGTTGGCAAAGATGAAGTTTGATTAGTGTTTGAAACCATTCGATATCTATTTGTATTACCAGATGGAATATGTGTAAACATCATATTGTTGTCTTCTCGAATGCTATCAGAATAAGATTTTAGAGCTGCGTGATCCCTTGATGTTCTCAGCAAGTTATGTGAATTTAAACGAGTTTCATTTACATTATTTGTTAATATTTTGTGAATATTTTTATCGCTGTAAATATTGTGAGAGTTTACATCATTTCTGCCAATTGAATGAGAGTGAGAATTTACATCATTTCTGCCAATTGAATGAGAGTAAGAATTTACATCATTTCTGCCAATTGAATGAGAGTAAGAATTTACATCATTTCTGCCAATTGAATGAGAGTGAGAATTTACATCATTTCTGCCAATTGAATGAGAGTGAGAATTTACATCATTTCTGCCAATTGAATGAGAGTGAGAATTTATATCACTTCTGCCAATTGAATTTGAGTGAGGATTTACATCATTTTTGCCTATTGAATGAGAGTGAGAATTTACATCATTTCTGCCAATTGAATGAGAGTAAGAATTTACATCATTTCTGCCAATTGAATGAGAGTAATAATTTACATCATTTCTGCCAATTGAATGAGCCTGAGAATTTACACCATTTCTGCCAATTGAATGAGAGTGAGAATTTACATCATTTCTGCCAATTGAATGAGAGTGAGAATTTACATCATTTCTGCCAATTGAATGAGAGTGAGAATTTACATCATTTCTGCCAATTGAATGAGAGTGAGAATTTACATCATTTCTGCCAATTGAATGAGAGTGAGAATTTACATCATTTCTGCCAATTGAATGAGAGTGAGCATTTACATCATTTCTGCCAATTGAATGAGAGTGAGAATTTACATCATTTCTGCCAATTGAATGAGAGTGAGAATTTACATCATTTCTGCCAATTGAATGAGAGTGAGAATTTACATCATTTCTGCCAATTGAATGAGAGTGAGAATTTACATCACTTCTGCCAATTGAATTTGAGTGAGGATTTACATAATTTTTGCCTATTGAATGAGAGTGAGAATTTACATCATTTCTGCCAATTGAATGAGAGTGAGAATTTACATCATTTCTGCCAATTGAATGAGAGTGAGCATTTACATCATTTCTCCCAATTGAATGAGAGTGAGCATTTACATCATTTCTGCCAATTGAGTGAGAGTGAGAATTTACATCATTTCTGCCATGATGATTAAAATTTGCAGAAGTATCCCAAGTAACGTTTCCTTGTCGATGAAAAGAACTGAAACTTGGCACATTATAAGGCGGAAAATAGTTATGACGAGCCTGTAAGCCATTCACATTTGCTACATATTCTAAAAAAAATATTAGTATCATTAGGATGAATGGGGAAAAATATTAAAAATGTAATATTTACCATTGTATATAGTAGGATCATATACGAAAGCTGCATTTCTGGCATGAGGGTTTGATACATTTGTAGAATAGGTTTGTGAGAACTTAGGTTTGGCAACATTTAGTTGACCAGTTCGATAGATGCCACGATTTTCTAAAAATATAAACAAATATGACATGCACTGTAGTTTCTTGAATATTATCAGATTTATATTTCACGTTTTTATAATACCATATGATATTAACTTCTTAATTTTTTCCTTGCCTTTATTAAAATCCAATTGAGATGTGTTATGCTGACCATTCACCACAGCATGCGGTTGTGCAATTGCGACCGTCAAGGGCGCAGTATAGATTGATTTACTGTTTACTACTTTTGTGTCATTTCTTGAATATTTGTTAAGTTTTCTTGTATTACGCCTCTTTAACTGTTCCTTGAAAACTAAAGTATCATCAATTTTTCCCAGTTGTTCGTTTTTTGATGTATTTGGGAACATCTCGTGAACGTTTGCTGGTGGATCAAAGTTATTAGAAATTTGTAAGCGATTAGCATAGGGTTGCAAAGTATTTAATGACAGATCTGATGTAATTGGTTTCTGGAATTTATTGTAATTTTTGTGTCTTGTAATATTCAAGCTAGGTGTTTTATCTTCACCATAAAAGACAAGCACATTGTTATGTGGATTAGTACTATAATTCACAAGATTATTGTCAAATTTGTCAGATTGTCCAAAATCCTCCGTGGGATGTAGCGTTTTATTCCACATGTCTCTATAATAATTTGGTTCTTCTTGCATAATTATTTCATTACTCAAGTTTTCAATTCTACTATCCTTTGTAGAAAACAAATTTTCAGATTGAGCATCACTTCTTATTGACCGTTCATGATTATCATTTGTATTCTTCATATCATTTTGCTGACCCTTCTGCTTAGATGTAGACAATTTTGTATTTTTGCGCAATAAATTTTCATCAGTTGTACTAATATTACGAACCTCTGTGGAATGTAGAGTTTTATTCCACATGTCTCTATAATAATTTGGTTGTTCTTGCATAATTATTTCATTGTTCAAGTTTTCAATTCTACCATCCTTTGTAGAAAACAAATTTTCAGATTGAGCATCACTTCTTATTAACCGTTTATGATTATCATTTGTATTGTTTATATTATTTTGCTGACCCTTCTGCTTAGATGTAGACAATTTTGTATTTTTGCTCAATAAATTTTCATCAGATGTACTAATATTACGAACCTCTGTGGAATGTAGAGTTTTATTCCACATGTCTTTATAATAATTTGGTTGTTCTTGCATAATTATTTCACTGCTCAAGTTTTCAATTCTACTATCCTTCGTAAAAAACAAATTTTCAGATTGAGCATCACTTCTTGTTATTCGTTCATAATTATCATTTGTATTCTTTATATTATTTTGCTGACCATTCTGCTTAGTTATAGACAATTTTGGATTTTTGCGCAATAAATTTTTATCAGATGTACTAATATTACGCTCAACTTGTCCATTGTTCTGCATAAGAAGCTTCACATCTATGTTATACTTATTCGGTATAATCAAATCTTCTATTATGTGAAATTTTGGCGCAGATGAATTTTCATTAACAGAATTAGTTTGAATTAAGCCTTTTTCGGGTAATATATCACGTTCAAGCTTTTTTCCAATTTTTCCAAAATTAATTGATTTATTTTGAACACCAGGTTGTCCGGTTGCAAATGGTAGATGCAAATTTGCTTGCTCGACTTGGATCATAGCTTTGCCATGTACATTTTTTCCTACGTAATTGTTTTCACGTTCAAGCTCCTTTTCGATTAGATTCAAATTTGTTTGCTCAACTTCGATCATTGTTTTATCAGGTATATTTTTTTCTACGTAATTGTTTTTACGTTCAAGCCTTTTTACGATTTTTTCTAAATTCTCTGATTTATTCTGAACACCAGGTTGTCCGGCTGCATCTGGCAGATTCAATTTTGCTTGCTCGACTTCGATCATAACTTTATCATGTAAATTATTTTCAGTAAATGAATAGTTTGTTGAGCTAGGTTTGTTTTCTTTATTAAATACTTCTACATCTTTATTTGATTGAATATTATATTTTTTATTCATCACAGAATTGATTTCTTCAGAATTTTCGATTTCTTGCCTATTTTTTAATAAATCATTTTTTAAGCAAGCTTTAAAACTCCTATCTATTTCATTTATTTTATTAATATTATTTTGTGCTGACGAGGTATGAGTAGAAAATTTTTCTTCATTTTCCGTGTCTAAAAAAGAAGTAATTGATTCTTCCGGTTTATTTTTTAATATTTGTAAATTTTCTGATGTTTTATTTAAATTTGGTTTGGAATTATTTAAATTTGTTTTGTAATTATTATCTGGTGCTGACCGCTTATTGTTTTCATCATTAATCAAAATTGATTTATTATGACATAGTTCTTCATCTGGCACTGTGCTTATGGTATTTTCTTCACCAATTCTAACTACTGCATCTCCAAGTGTACTTGAAGATGTAGCGGTGGTATTATTACACATAAGAGTATTTTTAATCAAACCATCATTATCTTGCTGTTGAAAATTTGTCATTTGAACTGCATCAGTACAACAATTATTTTCTTGAAATCGACTATTATTCAAAAGGGGTTCATCATATTCTGATACGCATCTGTTTGATGTACTAGCAACATCCCTAGCGTTAAATTGCAGAGGATGTGTTTGCAATTTATGATTGGATCTTATTTTTGGCATTTCACCAAGTTTGGAATTGTCTCCTGCAAAAACTTCACCTGACAATAATACCTTATTCAACAAATTACTTTTGTTTTTATCAGTTGAATTACTTTGACGACCTTGGTTTGAATTTAATTCATTTTTACGATTAAGGTATAGGCGAGAAGCATTTTGAATATGTTGATGATATTTATGCTTTTCAAATGTACCTGATAGGCACGATTGTGATTCATTATATTGTGTATTAAGACAAGGCATATGTTCTTCGAAAAATTTGTTTGACTTTACACAGAAATAATACTTATGCTTCTTTCTGTCGTTATCATTTAAAGTATTTAAAAAATCTATTAAAATCTCTAATTCAACATTATCGTTCATGATATTTTCATCGACAGAATTGGATTTACCTGATTTATTTTTCAAATTATTTGGCAAAATGCAATCACTGTGGAAATTCACTTCATCGGCCTCACTTTGCACATTTATATTATATAATCTGTTTTCAGTTGATGCATTTATTGAATTACTAAAAGAACTTAATGAATTTTCATTTAGTCTATCACTTTGTGCATCAGCATGTTTTATTGCATTAGCATTTGAATTATTTTCATTAGATTCTTGATTATCCCGATTAAATGTAATAGAATCTTCTGAAACTTTGTCTTCATTTTTTTCATCGTTGATAGCACCATTATGATATATTTTGGAATGGTTTATGCCATACATTTTATCATCTACTTTAGCATTTGTTATGATATCTATATCAGGATTTTTTAAGTCTTTTATGAATGCAGTTTTTTCATTATTTATAAATCCATTAAGAACAATATATTTTTTGTTTGTATTCCAATTTTCATATAATACGTGCATATCATGGCCATTGACTGGGAAATTGGCAGTAGTTCCATTACTTTTTATAAATGAATCAGGTGGATTTGAAAATTTATACATTTGCGCTGGCGTTGGCTTGAATTCAATATCGTATACATTTTCAGCTTCTTCTTGAAAAAGTTCTCCAAACAGTTTTTCTTCCAAACTATCGTTTGTGATATTTTGACCACAATCGGGATAGCAATTATTAGGAGTCTGATCGGGTTCACGAGTATGTTCCGTAGAAATACAATTTTGAATACATTGTGATTTGTCATGTGTGCATGATGAATTTAAAAATAATGACGGATTGATTCCGCATTTGGTTAAAACTTCGTGTACTACATCATCATCACTGCTAATTAGATTGGAATGGTTACAACTTTCATTATTGGAGTCATCTTCGTGAATTGTATTAATTTCTGGAATTATAATATCGTCAATGCTAATTTTCGTTTTGGATAATTGATTAGTTTCTAAATTTTTTGCATTAGTAATTGTTGTATTATCAGTGTCACCATCTTTGACAAGAAATAAATTCATATTATCTTCTGTAAAGTTTGTATTATCATCAAGATTAATTTCCATCATCTCCCTCTTCCATTGACTCCATTGCCTATATACTCTTTCACCATGACTTTCATTGCTTTCTTTAGGAACCAATTGCTCGTCTTTTTGTGCCACCTCAGAAACATGCTCATCCACGCTTTTTTTTGCATCCAAATCTATGCTTTTAATTTCAATATTATTACAGATTTTGCTGTTCTCAAATTTGTCTAGAGCGGAATTATAATTTGTGTTAGCATTAGCGTTAATATTTGTATTGGTAGAAGAATAAATCGGTTGATCTTGTGTGATTGTATTTTCATCTAGTATAGATTTTTTATCTTCATCATGAATATTGCTATGATGATTTACAATAGTAAGTTCATCCTCGCCATTGTCATCCCTTTCAACCGATTTACATTTATCATTCGTTTTTGTATTCAAATCACACAAAGATGGATCTACATTTTCCTCTTCATCACTCGAATCAGAAGCTATGATATCGTAGTTGTTTTCGTTAGAAATCAATTGTTCGTCGTTTTGCTCGATTAAAGAAAAATGTTCACACTCTAATGAATTATCAAGAGATTCGAAATATTTGTTTTCATCTGTTAATTTGATATATTCTTCCTCCTTGACCAAACAACTAGTGCAGTTTTTATTGCATTCTATACCGCATTTTTCATCATGTTGCTCAACGACAGTATTTATTGCACTTCGATTATTATTTTGTATAGAGATACTACTATTTATTGAACTATTATTTTCAATATTTGAAGTGTCATTATTATGACTATTACATTCTTTTGAAATACTGACTGATTTATTTACGATATTGTCACATGGACCATCATTTTCTGTATTGCTGTCTACATTAAGATTATCATTTGTCATACATGTTTCTTTTATGCCGATCACTTTTTCTCCATCTTCAGACTGTTTTGTGAGTAATTCGATCTGTGTATCTGCGAAAAATAGAAATATTGCCTCTAATTCTAAAAAGCTTCATTTAAAAAAACCTGCGTGATTTCATCAAGTTTTTTCTTGCTGATATATTTTTGTAGCGTGTGCCAATGTGATATATATGCAAGTTCGTATAATTGAATGGAAAATGCTATAGATTTTCATTTAATACTATACTATACTATATATAATTATTTATATATATATATATATACATAAACAATATAAAGGTCCGTGGGTAACAACCAATTTATCAAAAACAAGTAAAATTTTTTAACGTCAATATTTAAAATTAGGGGGCAAAAGATGTATAATAAGCACAAATAATCAACTATTCATTATGTACGTTTTGTACAGTTGATTATTTATTGCTTTTTATTTTGACTATTTGCCTGCAAAAAACATTTCAAAAATATGTTTCTACGTCGAACAAGAAATTCTTAAGCTCTTAAGTTCTTAAGAGCTCTTATATATATATATATATATATATATATATATATATATATACAGGGCCGGTCCTGCCTTGCATGCGATGCATGCAAAAAATGCGGGCGCAAGCCTTAGGGGGCGCCAAAACGAGTTTCGGAAATTAAATTTATAATACAATATTTATATTTTTTTATATAAAATCTAGAATTATTTATTTAAAATCTAGAATACTTAATAAATTATAATAAATAATTCAACTTAACTAGGGATACGGAGACACAGAAAGCATATTTATTTTGCAATGTGATATCAGTAGAAACAATTAACCGATTAATAATTCTGCAAATTAGTAAATATCAGCTCTGTTTATTGCTTAATCTACTTATTCAATTTTTTCTTTGTTTGAAGTTACCGTGGAATCGAAAAAGCAATTATCTAGTGTTCAATCCCAGAAGCGCAAACCTGCAAAACATTAAATTAATTGTTGGACGAAAATTTGGGAGCTGATTTAGTTGAATCGGAACTTGTTAAAAAATATAAACAAATTATAAGAAATGGGAAGTCAGTGCTTAGAAAATGACTCGTTTATTGCGAATAATTGAACTGTAACTTTTGCTTTTGTTGCAAATGTTTCGCTTCTGATGAACTTTGAATGTTGAAGACATGCGTGGAACAAATATGAAAAATGGAAGCAAAATTTACTTTGGAAAAAAAATCTTAAGGCTTGTTTTATACCTAGTGGTGTCCATACTCTAAATTTAATAATTATCAACTATACAGGAAAAATACATATTAAATATAATAAGTTTTTTTTTTCAATATTGTTCAAGAAATGTGTAATTTCTTTGCATTTTTTACTGATTTTTTAACAATACTTCTAAAATACGTTAAAAATTTAAATTTAAATCAAGCTGATACTCTGAATATGAAGGCTCTTACGATATCAATAAGGAGAAGTTTACGACGCAATTTTGGATATTGTAAATGATGAAATATTAAATTAAATTACAATTTAAAAAATACAACATGAAATACGAGTGTTATGTTTGAAAATTAAATGCTAGTTTTTTTTTAAATATTATTATTGTAAATTTCAAAATACTTGATTATAATCAACCCCCGAATTGCCTCGATTTTTCAAATAAATTTAAAATCAATATATCTTATACGTTTTTAGATTATATCTAATTTTTTGTGCACTAAATCCAGAATAATTAAAAAATAATTTATTTATTTCACTTAATATTTTTGTTAAACTAAAGTTATAGAATTAAAGAAATGCATTTCAGAAATAGTATTTATTATTTTGATATCAAGATCTTTATATCAAAATGATAAATACTTTTTCTGAAATGCATTTCTTAAATTCTATAACAAAAATATTAATTTTTTTGCTATGGTAGTCAAACTTACATCCTTAACCAATTTACTACATATTGAATATTACTAAAATGTGAAATTATGACAGGGATTGTTTTATTTATTGATATCGATAATAATAAATAAATTTAAAATCAATATATTTTATACCCTTCTAGATTATATCTTCTTTTGTGTACTAAATCCAGAATAATTAAAAATTAATTTTTTAAAATATGTAAATATTTATATAATTTTAATGATAAACTGTTAAAACGGTGAAAATTAATAGGGGGGGGGGGCGCTGGGAAAAAAGTTGCATGCGGGCGCTAAGGACCCCAGGACCGGCCCTGTATATATATATATTAAAATATAAATATGAACAAACAACACTCTTATAATATATTCAATTGGAAATATGAACAAACAACACTCATATATATTAAATTAGAAATATGAACAAACAACACTCTATTAGAATAAAAACAGACAAGTCTAGTTTCGAAACGTTTGTAAAATTAAGATTATTTAATAAATTAGTGCAAAAAAGAGTGAATCAGAATACATTTGTTATATATCTTATATATATATTTCTATTATTATTTTTATATATATTATAGGTTTTTAGAGCAAGAAGTTAAAATCATAAATATATGAAATATATATATATATATATATATATATATATATATATATAAATATATTGATTGTTTCTTTTCCGAACAGTAAATCCAATAATAAAAAAAACAATTTGTTTTTTGAAGATGTTTAATACGACGTTTCGGAACTAGGTACGTTCCATCATCAGGTTTATTCTGTCAAATACAATGTTTTTTAAAAATATTGATTAACATTAATTAATGATGGTCAATACAGATTAATTAGAAAAAATTTTATAAAGGAGTGGATTATGTACCGGGGTAAAGAGTAATAAGAATTAACTAAAAAAGGTTTTTATATAAAATTGAGAAGCAAAAATTATTTACCTGTAATAATAATTACCTGTTTGTTTTATTATTGGATTTACTGTTCCAGGACTTATCTATTGAATATTTATTATCTATTGAATATATATATATATATATATATATATATATATATTTCATATATTTATGATTTTAACTTCTTGCTCTAAAAACCACCTTTTTCTCAAAAATATATATCCAAAAATGACTATATTATATTATATTAAAAACAAGAACATTTCATATCGAAACAACGAAGAACAACGTTTCGAACGAACAAAAAACTCAAGTTTTTTTCCAAACGCCGATCGCATAACATCGAGAGAACAATATTATTTGTGTTTTCAAATAATAATTTTTAAAAAAGACAAAACTTTTAGTAATTTTGATTTACAAAATTTAACTATTCGGCGGAAAAATAACTCACAAATTCATTTTTTGTTTAAAAATCTTGTTTAGTGAAAAAGTGCTAACGTATATTCAAACATACAGATGTCCTGAAGATGGAACGTACCTAGTTCAGAAACGTCGGCAGTGAATAAATAAATAAATAAAGAAATTGTTTATTAAAAACTTTTCTTGTTTTTTTATTACTTTTGGATTCTTGTTCGAAACTCTACAAAATATACACAAATCCAAGATTCTACCATTCAATATATATATATATATATATATATATATATATATATATATACATGATATATGAAGTAAAACTCATTTAACACGATTTCTCGAATACATTACCAAGAACACATTATAAGCGAGAAAGCGTATTATGCTAGATGGGAAAATTATAGGATATTATTATTATTGCATTACTTATATCCTAATTTTTGTACTGGAAAAGTTCTTTGTACATAAAATCTTTGGCATTTATTGAAACTTTATTTAGTTTTTGTTAAAAACACTAAAGTTAAACTTAGTTTTGTTTTTGATAAAAACCGTTATTGCTTAAATCCACTCGGTTTTCTCCAATTTAAGCATACTCTATAAAAATGTATTTAATTATTATTTTATCGTACTTAACAAAAAAAACATAAAACGCTTTTTATTAAACAAGAACTCAGTACAGTAAGAAATGGTGTACAGCTTCAAAGTATTCAAAATTCGAAATTAAAACTTCAAGCATTACCTTAACAAATTCTAGCATTTAAACATACATAAACGATTGCAAAATAAGTAATACATACAAACATTAATTATCAAAAAAAATCAGAATCATCTTTATCACGATTGGTGGTAATACGACTTGAGCAACCTTATCCTAAGTAGGTACATATTAAATTTTAAATGTGTAAATTACATTAAATATGTAGTGTAGTCTTAATTACTTTAAGAAAATTACTAATTTAGGTTCGATAGACAGATTTTGATGCATTAGCAATTAGTACAGTTTCTGGCGTAACTTTTCTGACCTATCAAAATTAGCACCGGTCACAACGATCAGTCCCTATTTCACTTGCTTTATTAATATGAAAAATATGTTTCTTGAAAATATGTGATTTATCTGGCATCATTTTAAAAAATAAAGCAATAAAAATATATTAACAAATTGTAATACGGCATTCGATTACCTAAAGATTTGATGGTGCGCAATATCGCTGCAATTTTTGAAATAGTTTAAAATAATTTTTAAAATGGAACGCATCATAGAAAGTGATAAGTGAAGTTCAACTGAAAGCTCAACAAATAACTGAAAGTTTAACGTGCTTTTTGTGATTTTTTCAATATCTCAATATTTTTTGAATAATCAATTACAAATATCTTGTAGCCAGAGTCGTTGTTCAAATATGTTTTTTACCGGAACGGTGAAATTAAACGGGACCGGTTCAAAACTTATTCTCATATTTGTTCCGGTTCGAGAAGGCAAGAAACAAAAATCATTACAAAATCATTTTGTGCATATATATGTTTTTGCTATCATAGCAATGCTATGCCATATATTAAATATAATAAACTAAGCTAATGATGTTCGGTCCGGCTGCTTGCTTTTTGACAAAAATTAGAAAAAAACGTGTTTCGAATCCAAAAAGAGTTTACCGGAAAAAGGTTGTTCCGGAACAACGTTCCGACGCGTTCCGGCTCGACAAAACCACTGTCCCTGGCTCCCTTATGTAACAAAGTAATTAGTAACAGGCGTTTTTCAATAGGATTTAAAAATATTTTTTTGTCTTAATTGGACGTGTACGCCGTTCTGCATGATATTTTTATAATTACTGTCCCGCAGGCCGATGCAATAAACAGAACTGTGCAGGTTCGTCATTTTTACTCTACCATAAAATTTCTCTATCATAAAATTTGGGTTTGCGTTATTATTAACGACTGATTTTAAATCATGTTCATCTCATTTTGTTCAAATTCATCAATCTTTCATGATATGTAACCATTTTTATGATTGCTAAATTGTATTAATAGTAAGGTGACCATATTTTTTTAAGTCAAAACCGGGACGTCTTTTTCCGGACGAATTTTTAGAGATGCTAATCCGGGACGGTGGAATGTCTGCTAAATAACTAAAATATAATTAAAAAAAAAAATATTTAAGTATACAATAAAAAAAGGTTTTCTTAATGAATTAATTTGTTTTCTAAATCATATTTACGGGCTTCTAGTAACATCTTTACTTTTTGATTATATGCTATAGTTTTCTCTTCTTTTACCTATGATGTTATTATCTTATATTTATCGATCCATATGTTTTTTTGCTTTTGATTTTAAAAGTACGTTTAGTATAAAATTCTGTTCAATTCTCTTTATAATTAATTTGAAAAATTAGCACTTGTGCCAGGTAGTAAAGGTAGTTTTCCTAATTTTGAAAAGTTAGAATTTATTAATGTGAGAGGCTGTATTATCCCGACTTTGAAAATTTGTATTCGGCGATTTCCTCCTTCATAACGTATTGTTGCATATAACCATACTCATTGCATATATCATTTTCAAATATTTGAAGAATGAATAGTTATAATTTTATTATCAAATATTCGCAAAGCTTCAATTTAAATCTGTACTTTTCGAAATCTAGGGACAATCCGGGACAAAAAATCTAAATCCGGGACAAACAATACTGAATTATTAGAAATATTAGAAAAGCCCGGGATATAAGGCGAAAATTTGCCGGACTATCGCGGCCAAACCGGGACGTATGGTCATTAATTTATTAGTCATCTTGATTAATGTAAAAAAGCACATCTGGGGTTAGTTGAAACAAAACCATGGGGTTAGTTGAAACAAAACCTTGGGGTTAGTTGTAACAAAAATTGTATACAGAATCAAAAAACAGATTGAATGCAATGTTTAGTTTGTAAGCTATGGCTCATGTAAATTGTGTTATAGGAGACTTTAAGGAGTCGATTCAGCCGTAAAATAAACCAATTTTATGACAAGACTATGTTATGTAGCAGATTTGTAGACCTTATAACTACATAGACTGCTAGTCGAGGACAAAATGAATGCATAAAGATAGAAAAGGACTGTGACGTCACTTGCTGAACGAGTGTAGCCGACAATCGTAGAACTCTCCCGATTGATTAAATGTCATATGTTAATTAAATTAAATCTTGTGCTTAAAATTGATAAATTATTTTAAAGAAAAAATCTGTCGATGTAGTTTAGCACTGGTTCCTAAAACACTTTCGAATTATTAAACGTCATTGGCATGAATGATTAAATGGCATTGACCTTATAATATATAAACCGATTTTAACAGGTGGATTCGATTATATGTACATTCATTTTATAGACGAAATATTATTATTAATATAATTTCTTACAAAATTATCAGTGTTCACAATTGCCATTATATTATTAAAGTAAAACATACGACATATGACATTTAATCAATCGGGAGAATCTACGATTGTCGGCAATGCTCGTTCAGCACGTGACGTCACAGTCCCTTCTATCTTTGTACACTTTATACAATTGAAAACATATGAGAACTAGCAGTCCATGTAGTATAAAATAGTAGTATAGTCCATATAAAGTAGTACTAAAAACTGTCAAAATCCTGTGTGGTAGCAGTGCAGTCAGGTGTTTTTGACAGAAAATTTTACAAAGAAAACACAAAAATGTCAAAAAAACGATTTTATCATAACTGGATCTTTGAGATGTGATTTGATAACATATGAGTGAATTTGCATTTTATGTGTAAAACGCGTGAGCGCACAGCAAATACATGGCATTTTGTATAAAAACTGGAACGTAACACAGCCTTGCCAGAACATTGGTCTATTTTAGTGAATAATCGGCCTATATATCTTTTATTTGTACGGTGATATTAATTGCAGTTCACGTTGATTTAAGATAAAAATTTATATTACAAGAGGCATTATATATTTTATTTGTATTAATTATAGTGGATAAAAAATACTTAGAAATAATAATATATTAGAAGGATTATTGTCGTTTTATTGTTTCGGTAGGTGTTATAGCTAACCCTAACCGGGGTAAGTTGTAACACCGTACTTTTTTGAAAAATTAATTAATTATGAAATAATGAACAAATTGTGCAAATATTTTCATTTGATTTAGTAGAGGAATAGCTACAGCAACTATCCATCTTTATTTGATGAAAATATAGTCATCACTAGATACAGTAATTTTAATAAAAACTATTTTAAAAAATTTAAACATCAAATTATAGAGTTTGCGAATATATTAATTTTATCTGGATTTTATTTGAAATTGTGTTATTGATTATTTTGAAAATGTGTTGATTTTTTTCAATAAAATTCTAAATTTTGCGTGGCATTTAGACATTTTTGCAAAGGTTGATATAATATTATTATTACTCTATCATCAACTATTTTAGTATGATAATAGTAGATAATTCAATTAATAATATAATAAATAATTTGTTATATATTTAACATACCTGTAGTTTTCTGAAGTGAACAATCATCTGTGGATTCGAAGTCTGTCTCTATAGATTCTTTTTCTGTAACGTTTAGTAATTCTTCATTTTGAATTCCACAAGGGCTTTGAATAGTATTTAAATTTTTGTCGATTTTGAGTTTCTTATCATTTAATTTTCTCTCAACCCTTTTCAAGTATAGGCGTTTTACCCAGTTGTATAAACATTCAGTTTGAGACGGAGTGCTGCTGTACAAGCTTGTATAAGATTTACATCGTTTTTGGACTTCGGGTCTTTCTTCTTCATCATCAATAACATAATAATTTGAAAATCTTTTTGAATAGTCTGCTATTGCATCATTTCTACATATTGGCATATCAGTGTATATGAGATCCGGTAGCGGCTCAGAATGTCTTCGACATCTAAGTTTTCGCGACGCATATCCATCACACTTTTCTTCTGAAGGATGCTTATTTATACGTTTTTTCTTAAAGCCATGTTTTCTTTTTTTGCCTTTCTTTTTATGTACTACCTTATTCTGCTTAAAGTTTAATCTTTTTTCGGATGATGATGTTTCCGAAACCTATAACAACATTTTTTAATTGTTAGTGTTTTATAGCACAAACATAAATGAGATTATCATAAGTAAATAAGTAAATAACTTCGTTTCTACAACGCTACATTTTATTTTTCAAATAAATAGTAGAGAAAATGTACACAAATGTTTCTAATATTAATTAATTATTTTATAAACATTAGTATTTCAAGTGAGTCATATTGAGTGAAAAAGTTACCATAGGCTGAACCATTTTAAAATAGCTTAACTAATATAGTATAAAAATATCGTAATTAGGTTTGCTTAGCACTAAATTATATAAATCATAAGAATTTACTTAATTAATTATCATAATTTGCTGCAAAATTAATATATATGTTCGAAAATGAGTCAACTAATAATTTTAAATTTTGAACTTTTGAACGTTATTTTGCAGAAGATCAAACTGTAGTTTTCTCATCAGTCTTCTCATATTTGCAATATCAAGAAAAGTGGCCAGAATTGGATTCTGATGGCAATCAATATTCGCATGTCGGGTTCAAATGCACAAATGTATTGAAATTATTTGTATAGACTAAGACCACAAGTAATTTCAAAATATAGTCCAAATAAACTTTGCGAATATTAATCGAAAAATATTACATCATGGCATATTACATCAGAGTATTAATTTTGAAAATATACTTGTTAATATTATGAGTCTTTTGATTTTAATTTATTGTGTACTGCTATTAGTATGATATTTATTTAAATTTTGAAAATTGTTCAATATTTAAAATATTTAGAAAAATTTTTACAGCATTTTGATGATATTAAACGATTTTAAAAAACCAGAATTAGAAAATTATTGCCTGATCATTAAAAAACAATAAATTATCCAAAAAAATATCAAAATATTCAAAAATTTCAAACTTACAGCCATTGTTAATTTTTCTTACTTTAAAAGAAAGATCAATGGAATAACCAATATTTTATGAAATTTGTTTATCTATAATTAACAATGGTATATAAATGATATTGACAATAAATGAAATAAAAAATAATTAATAATTTGTCTATTATCTTTAAATAACGCAGATTACTTTAATAATCTAGTTCTGTTTATTAACTTTAAAAATAACGCAGATTAATTGCAGAGAAATATTTGAATGATGTAAAAAAGGGATAAATACTGATATTTTTTTGCTTTAGTCTACGCATTAGAATTTTATCTATGATGAAAAAATGTGAACAACTAAAATGTAAAGCTAAATGTAATTTAAAAACTTTCAAAGAAGTTTGTTTTCTCCAGAAAAACCGATTTGCTAATTTATTGTTTTACCGACAAGTCATCCAGTTACCATATTGTATTTATAAAATTATCATGTACTCCATACCTTCAATATTTAATTATTCAATATAATTGTGATGGCAAAATAGACTTTGGCGGTAAAATTTAAATTTTTTGCAATTAAACTGCTAGTGGTGCAGGGCATTGTGCCTTAAGGCAGATTGCTGAAACTTTTTGTGCCGTAATTTAAATTTTTTTAAATTCTAAGATACCTCTGAAACGTAAAGATATATAAAATTTTTCATTTTCGACTTTTTTGCGATTACTATAACTTTCCCTACGGGCACAAGTTAAAATAAACAAACTCTTCGTCAAAAATAGATTTTTCTCCAGATATTAGAGAAACACTGAAATTGAATAATTATCCCGAAGAAGTTTCTTTTTGCCAAATCATTCGATTAGCTGATTTCTCGACCGTTCAAGTCTAATAACTAATTAGACAAAATTTTGCAATCTACAATTGATTAATTAGATTAAAAAATCATATCTATGATCATAATAATTTGAGTGCGTAAATCCGCGCAT